GATCGGACTAATGAAAGAAATCAGCGGCTCTTAAGGCATACACTTGTTTTGAATTTTGTGTAAATTTTGACATGATTTCACAGTGACGTAATAGGTGCTCTCGAACAACAGTGGAGACCGGGCGATGCAACTAAAATAATTAATCGCTCTTTCCAAAATCCTTGCCCTTTTCAATTATTTAGATATAAATTTTAAAAAATAGGGTTGAACGTCTTGCTTTTGTGCACCGATTGGGCAAATGCTGACGGATATTTAGACATAGATTAAGTACATCCCTTCTAAGGCTTTCCATTGAGCCGCAAAATTTTCAAAAATTCAATGAAAATATAGTCACGAGTTGAAACCGCTTTTTTTTCTTTTACAATACACATTTTCCTCGCGGACTTGACAGATAACTTTATTCGCCACTGGGAATAGACGCTGCACTTTTGGTTCCACTAAATACCAGTTATTTATTTGCTTTCGCTGTATTAGTTATTTATTTGTTTTCGTTGTATTTTCAAATAGGTCAATAAACTCCAGTATTAACAAAATATAATTTAAAAATCTCAGTCCAGTGTGAGCACTTTTTGTGTACATAAAATAGAAGAGCATTGAAGTTTAATGTATAAATAGAAACTATGGATTACGAAAATCGACATTCTTTTACTTGACTATAAAAAACTCTCTTGTAAAAATCAAACAAATGTACTTTATTTGAAAGGGTTATATAATATGCTATTTTATCTATATTTTGGTGATTGTATGATTTGAGAGCCCAAGCTCCTCTATTTCATATTGCAGAGTTGTCTTATACATAATAGTGTGTGCCTTATTAGATATTTCTTGCAATAAACCATTTCATTATCCTTAATGTCGCCTAAAATGTAATTCTTTACAAACTAATTTGTTAATTTCCCAATGAGCAGGCCCAGTTGCCACTGAGTTTTACAGTTTTATTTTTTTTTTTTTCGAGAATGTAAAAAATACCCTCAGTACGATTTCAAAATCAGAGAGGCACTTTAATGGGATCATTCTAGAAAACGACTTACTAAATGGTTCTTAGCAATTTTTTGTGAACAGTATGTTGACACATTAGTGATTAATTCATCACAATTCAAAGACATTACGAGAAGGTTTAGAGTCTGTACCCAGTCTATACATCAGCATCTGGTGTGTCCACCGCGAGTGTCAATAACAGCAGCGCAGCGTCTGTATACATGGAGTGGACCAGACGATTGATGAACGCCATTGGCACCTGGAACCACACTCTCAGAAAAGCCTGTGTTTGGTCTCGGTACCACGTTAAGTCTCCTCTGAATTTCATCCCAAATATGTTCAATCGCGTTTAAGTCGGGACTGAGGGCTGGCCAAAGCATAACGTTGACACCGTTCTGCTGTAGAAAGTTCCGAATAACTCAGGTGGTGTGGGCACGTGCGAAATGTGGTATGACGTGGGGTCCGAGAGCTTGATCGATGTAGCACACTGCTGTGATGCCGCCTCCTCTCCCTGGACCAAGATTTTGGAACACCACAGGACTCACTCTCTGGTTCAGGCCGATTCCACCCTATACCATTATGCTTGGACCTCTCCATGAGTCTCGTTCCATGACACATTGATCAGAATAAATCTAGCCACGTCGACGCCATATTCTGGACCTGCCATCTGCAGTTGATACGCAATACCGACTCTCATCTGTGAACAAAACAGTTCTCCATTGCCTGTGTCGACAGTTCTGGTGTTGTTGGGCAAATTGTAGACGTTCACGTCGATGGCGAAGGTGAGGATCGGTCCACGGTAAGGTTTACGGCAATAGATGTTCTCTCTGATGAGACGTCGGCGCACTGTATCGGTACTGATGGGCCTTCCGTGTGTTCACACTGTCTGGCGTTCTGTCTCAGATGCCTGTGTGAAGGGATTCTGCACGTGCTGTCCTACAACATGGCGGTCTTGTCGCCTTGTGGTAACCCTTGGTCTACCAGTTCGGGTGCGATTGGCAACGGCTTGGGCAGTGTGGCCAGCGTCGAGTCTTCCAAGTGCCGGGTTCCTCTGAGCTGTCGTGAGTGGTGGCTTGTTGTTGACGTTGTGGTGTGAATGATTCAACCAAGTATGGGGGGTGTATTTTATAGGGTTGTTCCCGGTGAACAGCACGCGCGGCACGAGTTACATGAAAATCATGGAGAACACATTACCATCTCCGAAGTCGGGGTGCGTTTTTGAGAACATTTCCTGGGTTCAATTCTGTGTTTGGGAAGGACCCTTATTGCTCAGGTAAAGTTGTCACAAATATACAATAAAAACATTTGGCAAGTTTTATGCAATGCGTCTATTCAGAGTAACATACCAACCTGACCTTTCTTTTGCTGCTAAGTATATATAGCGAAACGCCGCAGTCTGGACTAAATTTCTCTGATTATAGGAAACTGCATGGGCGTATGCCTATCTTTATTGTTGCGTTTGGTGCCCATATCAGACAATTAGAGTCATTATTAATATCCGGTTTCTTCCTTCCCACTGCTAAAAACCCTCACACACAAGCGAATTATTGAAATAAAATTGAACCATAGTACCTAGTTTGTGTCGAGTGGACGTTAAACCCCATTTCTCTCTCTCTCTCGTTATCAGTATTTTTTTGTGTATCTTTTTGATATGCTTAAATGAATCTATGTTTCCTAATTAGATTTAACCAGGCATTAAATTCAATGCAGTCCTGGTCATAACATTTTTATGCAATGTGAAGCACTGCAGGGTATAGGGGATTGAGACAAATTGTGAAATGCGGCATACAATTAGATAAAGTTTTAAGATGTGAATGCCTTGTGATTTTTTTTTTACACGTGTGATGTTTACCTAAATATAAAACTTTCCATCCCTCAAATAGCACCAAAAGGGTATGATTTTCACTTGACATCATGGTGTTGCCCCATTGCTTCTGTATTATTATTTTTGGTTACAAAACAATGGGGCTGACGAGAACCGACAAGAGCGTTTCTTTTGTCAGTAACGGCCAAAGTATTGCAAAAAGTTGCCGACAAGAAAAGATATGTAATAGACATGCACACTATATATACTATATCCAAAATTTAAATAATTTCATAAAAGATTGAAAAAATTATAACCAACTGAAATACTTTCTGAATCAATGCCTGGTGAAGACAAGAGGGGCCTATAGTTGATATAATAAAAGTTATATTCCATAGTTCTCTTTATTTATTTATGCTTGTCAATTTCTCAATGCCATGTAAACAACATAACTGAAATATGGACGAAAACGGTCCTAAAAATCACCGGTAAAAGTAGTGTTTTTTTGGTCAATATCGCCCAAATTATTGCCAAATGTGACCGACAAGGTAAGATATGCATACTGTATACATCTATCTATACTAATATTTGTGACTGTCGTTTGTCTGTCTGTTTGTCTGTCTGTTCGGGGTTGGCGGCTACACTAGGTCTGCCCCAAGTCTGAAATTTGGGGTATAGGGGTAGCTCGGACCGGGGAGTAACATAGGCCAGGTGGCGTTAGTCTACCCCTTCCGGGTTCGGGGTTATGACCCCCGAGCGAAGCCGGGCATTCTTCTAGTCATATATAAAACTAACTGATTAACTGTGGGTTACTTTCATTATGACTAATCACAAATTATGTTTACAATCTAATATCATTCTGACAAATTCGCTTGAGTTTTTAAAAACATTTTTTATTTCTAGATACAAATTAGAATTATATTTGAGGCGGCGAAAGTCTGAAATTGAAACTATATTTCTCTTAAACCGGTCCTACTAACCACCGACAAGATCGGAAAGGGGGAGCGGGGCAGTCGAGTCCAACGTATTGCAAAAAGTGACCGTCATGGACAGATACCACATTCTACACATCATCCAAATTTTAAAGGATCTTAACAATTGACAACATTATGGATAATTGAAATATTGACAAAAACCGTCTTGCTATCACCGCAAAGGGCGTCTTTTGGCCAGTAGTGCAAAATGTATTGCAAAAAGTGACGGACATGAAAAGATTTGTTATAGATATTCTCATATCCAAATTTTAAATGATTTCATAAAACATAGAAAATTTTATGGATGATTGAAATTTTGACAATAACATTCCTGCTAATCGCCGACAAGAACCGAGAGGGTTGGGTTGATTTATTTTTTGGGCAATTTAACTATCTATAATTTTGGCAATTTTTTTATGAAATTATTTTCATTTGGATATGATGTGTAGAAAATGCACATAACATATCTTTCCTTGTTGGTCACTTTTTGCAATACTTTGTGCACGCTTGACAATGAAACCGAACTACTTGTTTGTCGATTATCAGTATTTCATGGATATTTTTTCCGTGAAATAAATAGCAATATACCCGTTTTCATGTTATAGCCGCTTTTACCTGACAAGTCGCCCCCTCGCCCATATGAACTTATTTTTTGCCATAATTTTTAAAATAAAAAAAGTCTGTTCACATTTTGGGTTAAATTTGGTTATAAAAGACGGACAAAAATCGTCAAAGGAATTAATTATTTGCTAAATTCGATCCTAAACACGGTTTCTAATGTGATTATGACCCTTTAAAATATTGTCTCGATTTTCGAAGAAAAAAAGACGTGTTTGTACCCAAAATTCGAATTGTTTTAATAACAGTTGATAAGAGTTTTAACTTATCAACTGTTATTAAAACCACATTTTGAGCGATTGCTGGAAACGTGGAATTTATATTTGTGTTCAAATCAAAAAAGAAATCTTAATAATAAAAATATAATATGTTAATTTTTATATATTGGTTGCAAATTTATAAGATTAAATATCAACTTATATACGTTTATGAACAAGTCTACATTGATGTCAGTGAGCCAGAATAAATTATATAGATTTCTCAGATATAATATTAAAAAACACACAAAGACTTCCTGAAACAATAAACTTCTTGTACTTGTATATTTTCGTTTTTGTTAAGGCAAAAGACAAATCATATAATTCATCCTTCTAAAATTAAATTTATAAAATGGAATTAAAGTTTACCTTATTTGACTGCGGCGCTTACCGCAAACTTTGGCGTTTAACAGTAGCGGTATGCAGATATGAATTACCTTTGAATACAAAAAATGAAGGTGGCAGAAATATATTTGGATCAATAACACAACTTACCAAAACTAATAAATATGATAGAATCAATATGAACACACCTCAACTTAACACCGGCTGACGTGGTATGAATAATGATATTTAGTAGCTGTTTATAACATAAATTCAAAAGCCATATTTCAGTTCTTTTAAAATATTTAAAAGTTATAATTCTGACTAATACGTTGGTCTAGGCCATTACTGCACGTGTCACCACCCTCTTTAAACACTCCGACAATAATAAAAGAACAAAATAGAAAAGCTGAGAAATTTTGGAGATTAAAACTGCAGAAAAATAATTTTAATAAATAAATACGATAGATATGGCGAAGTTATTTTTTGTCTGATTTTCTTAGGTAAAAACTATAACTAATTAATTTATTACATTATGGAGACGTAGCAGCTCCTAAGGGGGGGGGCGCAAACTTTAGGAAAATTAATGTAATGAAAGAGAATGTATGCGCGCACTACGGCCTGATCTTATTTCGAGTTCTAAACATCACGTTTAATTGTCTTTTACGTGCAAGCAAACCTGTACACGGGGCCTTGTTGCCCCCCCCCCCCCCCAACCCTAACGACTAGATGATGTTCCTTGTCTGGTCGCCCGTCCTCCTACACTGACAAGGGTTAGGAAGCTTCTTACTTCGGCTCCCTCAGATCTATGGATTGTGAATGAAAATATTTATGTTGAGCGTAGCTACTGGCGAATATTTTGGTAAACATGCGGAATCATTGCTTACCATCGTGGCCACTGATTTCGTCGTTATAAGATCATCATCGGATACCCTGTAAAACGCGAATACACGTTAAATGTAAAATAAAGAAAATACGGATTTCAGATATGAAAAGCCCAAAACCTTCAAAAAAAAAGTTTACCCCATCCGACGTCCGACATATTCTCTCCTGCCACAGATCTTTGTTACCCTGTGATCGTCTAGTTTTGTCTCTAGCTCGAATATTGTTGTAATTCTTTCCGTTGTGTTTTCGTACCGAAATCAAATGAAATGAAATGGGGTTTAACGGCCTACTGTTCTGCTCCTAAACTGGGCTAATGAAGACGGGCATACGCCATACAGTGTGCTATGAGGGAAATTTTGCCCGGGCAGCGGCACTATCGCCTACTCTTATATCGAATTCCAATTGACACGGGATCTTTTACGGGCATTCGAATGTATACACGGGACCTCGGTTTTTTGTCTCATCCGAAGGACTAGACAGCTGTCCTTGTCAGGCCCTCCGTCCTGCATCACTGACAAGGGGGAACCACGCCGGAAAATCTGGATGAACTTTGTCGGCCAATGCAGGGATCGAACACCCGACCTCCAGACTAGCGAGCCAGCGTCTTACCCACTTAGCCACGTGATCCCCTTTACCGAAATCAAATACCGGTATGTAACAGGAACAACGACAGTTTTATCTATACGTTTTTATGTCACAACAGTTAAACAATAGTCTACATTACAATACATAAAATCAACATGTCTTTCTCTCAACCTCACTCCTATAAAAGTCTAACCAGCGTGGCTAGATTCAGGAAACCACTTCATCATGAAATAGTCATCTAAAGAACCCAAAGCGTGTCTCATCTTCTAAAGAATCTACATGATGTCTGGTCTTCTAAAAAAAACAATGATGTATCATCTCTAGAAAGAATCTACATGATTTCTACTTGTTACGCCCATATCCAGTTCCTTATATATGTATAGATTTCCGCTATTGATTATTCAATTGGCCAAATATTATGTAATAAAAATCGTGGGATTGGTCATGCCTAAAGAAATAATTAGTAATTTTCCACTCGCGTGTATTTCAAACAACTTATCCTTGAACAATGTAAATGACCAGCAGTTTTTGGTTATGAATATGAAATCAATATTTTTGTAAAAATAGCAATATTGTTTCTGCCAACATTCCTTGTCTATATGAATTTGAGACCAATAATTGGTCCATGGCATAATATGGTCGCAACGACAATGGAGGAGACAGATAACATATATATTTATCAAATTATAAATCATGTCCTCTGGTGCACTTATATTCGCATAGATTACCAAATAGTATTACAATTTAGTAAAGTAATTGAGGTTCATGTGAATATGAATCGTTTGGATTTCCATAATACTACCGCCTCACTCCCTATTATAGTCTCTATCATCCAGAAAAATATTCTACGTTGAAGACTATGAGGTTCTGGGTGATCAAGACTACTCCTTATATTATGCACTGTACTAGTAATAGATTTATGCTGAAAATCATATTTAATGGAATTTTAGGATAAAAAGAACCATTTTATAGGAGCACTGAAAAGTCGGATGGTCAATTCTAAACCTACATGAAATTAATACTAGATAGTGGTCTCATCCCGTCAAATATATTGTACTTACCCCCCTTGAATAATATTCTTCGTTTAGAAATCAATTTCGTCTGTAGAAGGTCGTAGAAAATGAGAAAATGCTGTTTGTAGCAGCTTCTCATCATGTTTATATGATATTTTATGTATTTGTTTTCTAAATTCATAGAAACAAATTGACCCAATAGTGCTCCATATTGTTTAGTTACTGTCACTCGTCTAAAGGTAATAAATAACGTGAAGTTTTTGACAATAGTCATAGAATAAATAGATCGTAATCTTCCCTACTGTCTGAGTCTTGGTAAATTTTAAACGGATTTCTTCGATTATGAACAAACTACTTAACTTTGGTGATTATAAACTTACCTGTGTGTTTGTAATGAACTCCCGTTCGATAAATCCATTGCACAACTAATTATCACAACGATGAAAACAAGTTCTCTCTTGAAAAATTGAAATATCACAAACTTTTCCCAGAGAAAAATACCAATATGGAAGATGGTTACGTCACTCTGCGGAAGATATCATTTCGTATTAGGGGTGACAGCATGATAGGAAATTCAAGTACAATTACGACAAGAATCCATGACCACTCGGACCAAAGACCACTCGGTTGAAGACCAGTCGGACCAACTGATAGACCACTCAGCCCAAACAAATAGACTACTCGGACCATACAAAAAGACTATTCGGACCCAACAGAAAGACGACTCGGACCAATAATAAAGTGTTGTTTTAATAAATTGATAATTGCGTTTGTTTTAATATGATTACTCGAACCAATAATAAAGTGTTATTTTAATAAATTGATAATTGTGTTTATTTTAATATGACTACTCGAACCAATAATAAAGTGTTATTTGAATAAATTGCTAATTGTGTGTGTTTTAATATGACTACTCAAACTAATAATAACGTGTTGTTTGAATAAATTGATAATTGTATTCCAAATCGCAAAATATCGAGAACCACACTTGTAGTCACGTTTAAAAAGGGGCATATAAACGTCCGGTCTTCGTATTATTATGTGCTGTTTATATTAACGCATCAAGGGCGGATAACTTGAAAACATGTCTCCCCCCCCCCCCCATATATAGTAACCCAGGGGTTAGTGGGGTAGAACGGAATGAAACCACTGGGGATACCGCGAATGTGGAAAAAGTAAAATTAGGCTATCAGACAAGAACAGTATACCCGTATATGTAGAAACTGTCAAAAGTCTGGACATACCGAGTCTCATTTCAAGAGTAAAGAAAAATTAGATTGATATTTTTTTTTGGCACCATTATTAATTAATTTTAAAACTAATCGTTGATTTATTTTCCGTACACAAAATTGAACCAAACAACTCTAAATATAAGAATTCCGTATAAGAATTATTTGCTTCTTTGTATTGTAATTTAATAATAAATAAATAGCATATTGTCTAGCCTTATAATATAATTTAATTGGTCCGACTGGTCTTGTTTTGGTCCGACTGGTCTTAGTCCGAGTATTCTTTGGTCCGAGTGGTCTGGATACCTACGACAATTGGCATTGAGTTTGAGCGTTCGCACACATAACTACCCGCATTCCTGTATTTAGTTACCGTCTTTTACATTCTAGTTAAATCTCTGCAAATTTTATAGCTTTACTTTTTGAAATATTTTGTTCTAATTATTTGATTAGCGACTCAGATGGGATTATTTACTTTTGAACACGCATGCCGCACAAACACAACTATACATTCGTTTTACAGGCTTTATCACACTTCGGTCAAAACTGTCGAATCGAGAATTAATGTTCCGCTTCTTACGGGGTCATACGGGCTTAGTAGCATTATATACCCACCCGGGCACCCAATAGACACGCTGAGGGCTGCCGCAACACGCTTAAAGATGTTACTGAAGCGGTTATTATTCGATCGAAAGAATGCGTATAAAATTAAAAATACATTCAGAGAATTCGGAGGTAAGCTTCATGATCCTTGTTAAATTATTTATAACATAAAGAAGATAGGATATTTATAGTTTATACATGACTTTATTTTTACGAGTATCCGTGCAATCAGTCATATTTTAATTGTGAAGAAAATTTGATAGACTGGCGATCAATGGTTTCCATATAAATCTCCTATGTAATTGCCTTCAATTGATATTTTTCGTCGCCCAAACCCATATACGATCAAAATGATCGCGCTGTCAAACTATCTTTCAATGTTAACCAACCCCCGCAACAGGTATATTGGATTCGACCAATATGTCACGAAGACATTGTTGACATCGACTCTGTCGAAATTACAAGTAAATTTTCTAATTTTTCAAGAGAGAACTTGTTCTCATCGTTGTGATAATTAGTTGTGCAATGGATTTTATCGAACGGGGGTTCATTACAAACACACAGGTAAGTTTATAATAACCAAAGTTAAGTAGTTTGTTCATAATCGAAGAAATCCGTTTAAAATTTACGGTGGTTCACACAGTAAATCTTAGCAATCGAGTGACACAGAATTTAATTCTATTAGTATTACAGTTCTGTCAGTCCCATTACTCCCAACAACTGAATTAGTGTGGTGAGTAGATCATGACATCAATAACCACAACGACCATTCAGCTGCCGTTATCCTTTGGGAGCCAAAGTGACTCAGCGGGTAAGACGCTGGCTTGTTAACCATGGCATGTCCCAAATCCGTTCCCAGTGTTGGCTGAGAAAGTTCCTAGTGATTTTCTGGCAAGGTTTCCCAATGTCAGTGGTGCAGGACAGAGGACCTTACAAGAACAGTGTAGAGACTTAGTCGTTCAGATGATGCGAAAAAGGTCACGTCTACAAAGATCCCTTTACAGTCGGAAATCCAAATAAGACTAGGCCATAGCAAATCCCCCCCCCAAAAAAAAACCCAAAAAAACTGGCATGGTGCAAGCCTGTGTTCCTTAGTCCAGTCGGTTCAAAAAGGTAGGACATTAATAAAACCTGTCTTGATCTGTTGATAAACATGGACATAGGAGATCAATATTTGGAAAAGTAAATGGTTATCATAGTGGATGCTTGAATAGTCCCATGAATAGTGAAAACCAAGTTAAAAGGGGAATTTTGGCCTACAAAGTTTGTGCTGACTGATAATTAAGAATAAGAAAATGTGTATGAACAATCAAACCCATGATGTGTTATTATCTCTGTAGCCTACATGATCAATTTCAATTTTTACATTTCAGAAATATGGAAAAGTTACGTAAATTGTGTACATATATGCTACAAAGAAGAAGTCATATTCTTTACAAAAATAAATTATTGACAGGTTATCATACATCAAGTGTGCGTTTGTGGAGAGATAAAGTTGCAATAAAAATTGAAGAAAAATTAGCAGTTCAACATCAGGGTGTATTTAATGAAATCTTAGCCAAGAAAAAAGCAGACAAAGCTGCATTTCAAACAGCTATAGCTTACTATATAGCTAAAGAAAAGTTGTACAGAAGAGGACATGTTGAGTTTATTGAGGCAGCTCTTCATCAAATGAAAGAATTTGGTGTTGAGCGAGATTTAAGTGCCTATAAAGCGTTGTTGAGAGTTTTTCCTGAGGGCAAAATGATACCGAAAAGTGTGTGGCAAGTGGAAATGTTTCATTATCCAAAACAACAAAGCTGTGCTATAGAACTTATGGATCAGATGGAATATCATGGTAATTTGTCCTTTTTGAGCTATCTATTATTTTAGTGAAGTAATTTACATTCCAAATGGTATAACTGTGGGTGTTTAATGAGCTCTCTGGTTTGCTCCTGCATGGTGTTGGCTGTGGTTTCCCACTTGTTGCTAGTGCAGGATGAAGAGCCTGGCAAGGAACAGTGTCTAGTTCATTAGATGGGATGAAAAAACAGAGGTCGTTTTTTCGACTCATTCAAATGACTATTTGTTGTCCCTTGCCAGGCAATCCCTCCTACACCACCCACAACAGAGAACCACGCCGCAAAATCCTGATGATCTTTCTCGGTCAACACTGGGATCGAACACGGGTTAACAAGCCACCGTCTTAATCACTAAACCGCCGTAACTCCACAAATGTGACAGGTAAAGAAATGGAAATGAAATTAAATTGCTGTATGAAGTTAGTTAATGTTTGTTAACCAGGTTTGTTTTGTATATGAGTAAAATGGAGACACCTACTAATTAGAATATATGAATATTACCTATGAAAAATGTTTAGCCTTTTTTTTTCTTTTCACTATTTTTAAGATGTTTGTCCAGATCGTGAGTTTGGATGTATTCTTGAATCAATTTTTGGTGCTGAGGTTCATGCCTTCAGGAAATTTAGAAGAATGCTGTATTGGCTGCCAAAGTTCAAGAATGCTACTCCTTACCCTATACCGTACACATTGCCAATTGATCCAATAGAGCTAGCTATGTTGGCCTTAAAAAGGATGGTAATTGACAATCAAAACAAGCTTACAGTATGGAAGGTAACTAAGGAAGTCTCTCTCTCCAGATTGTTTAAAAATGATTTAACCAGAACCTCGTTTCACTGAAATTGACCACTCAACAGCAGTAGGAAACAGACTTGTTTGTGAACACTCTACAGGTCACAGTTCTTATCCGATTTTGATGAAACTTGAAATATAGGTTTATCTCCAAAAGATCTTGGTTCCTGTCTATATTGGCATGTATCAGATCGAAACTTAATGGATTATGGCCCCTGATTGTACGTAAAATCACGATTTTAGCTTGTGGACACTCAGAGGTCACAATTTTTATCCAATTATATCATTGTTACACCCTAATGACGGTTAGAACGAATTTTGTGAAAATCAGACCGAAACTGTCTGACAAAATAGCCGCTCCTTGTACCCAAATAGTGTAAAAGCAATACCCAGGTTTTACCCTTTCGAAGTCACAATTTTTATCATATTTTTCTGTCGCAAAGATCTTGGTTCGTTTCGCTATGCGAGCATATCACACCATAACTTCCTGAATTATGGCCCCTGATTGTGTGAAGAATTGCATTTTTGGCTTGTTGACCCTCTAGAGGTCAAAGTTTTTATCTGATTTTAAAAACCTTTTAAAAATATCACCTTTACACCGTATGGATGGTTGGGTTAGGATTTTGTAAATTCGGAAAGAAACTGCCCGACAAAATGGCTGCTCCTTGTAAGCAAATAGTGTAAAAGTATATAATACTAAGGTTGTGAAACCTGCAGAGGTCACAATTTTTATACGAATTTGATACAACTAAAAATATGTTATATATTTGAATTGGGTTAAATTGTTTTCATGATATTTAGTAATTGAACTTGAAATATTGTTCGAAAAACAGTAAATGTATTCCATAGAATTATGTCCTGTGCATATTAGATTACTGGTATATGAAAAATTTGAGGTACCAGTAATTTTATTCAGCCATTCCCATATGTGAATACATTATAACCTGTCTGATGGAAATCTGGTAATCTCTTTACAGGCGAAGCATTGTGAGATTTTTCTGGGATTGTTCTACTAGTGATCAGAATGAATCTTGCTGAAAGATTTGTTACATGTAGTTGTAATGGAAGCCTGGGAATTGGCCTCCTGTTGACAAGATAACAAGATTAAACATACACTATGCAAGAGCTAAATCTTTAGGCCTGAAATGTTATATAAAGCGAGGCTAAGTCCAAATTATAATTTATACCAGTGCCCTGGTTACCACTGTGCACACATCTTGTCAAAACTACAAACAATGATAACTTGGCTAAGAATGAAGTAATTTGACTGAAATTTTCAATATTTTCTATTTTCATCATCTATTTTTGAATCATTATAGCAAGAATGACCAACTCTTTATTAAACTCTTAACTATTGTATCTTTAATATTTTAATTCAAATCTTCTATTGCCAACAAAATACTGAATATCGAAATAAATCAGAATCTGTTTGTATCATTTCAGACATTAGAAGCGGAAGAAGAGCCTTTAGAGGATACCTTTATTGTTAGTGCTATGAGTCCAGAACAGAAAGAATTAATAGAAGAACATCCAGAAACTAAACCATTGATTGTTGAGGGGGGATATAAAACATGGTTAAGAAATATATCACAAATATACTTTGTACTTCGAGCTGACCCCAATCCTGAAAACTTTACCAAACCTTCAGATGATAGCAGATATGAAGATGAAGAAGGTATAATGTTTGATTTAATTAATGTTTGGAAATCTATATAGTTGTGGGTAGCTGTCCCATATTTCTCCCATAAAGCTATTAGTTTCGTTCTTAAGTCAACTCTTCAGTCATAAGTGAGGTTGTGGGCTGTTTCCTTTATATATATTTGTTTTGACCGTAGTACAGTAGGACATTAAACCTCATTTCATTTCATATCTTGTGAACAGTCGTGCCGATATACTGTCACCATTAGCAAAGACATCCATGCTAATTCCAAAATTAGTATGAACAAATCCCATAGAGCAAGTTTTAAAAAATCGATTTTGAACTGTATGAATAAAATGTGAACAAAAAAACATGTTCGAAATTTACAATCCTAATCTTTTGGAATTACTCGGCTCTTTCATATGCCTAAATAAAAATCTTACCATTGAGAACTTTGTGAGTTGTCAAGTATGACCACCTGTTTTGATTAGCCCAGCTGGGGAGGAAAATTAGGACATTAAAACCTGCATTGAAATTAATGATGGGTCATTTTTCATAAAAATATCAAATTTCTCACGGCTTAATCCATGTAAATATATACTCAGGTTGATTACTTAACATTTAATTAAAAAAACAAAATCAAAATAGATCTATGCAATGTCAATTGTACATATCTTTGTAATTACTTAACAGCATTGAACCATATTTCGACTGATATTTCTATTAGAGAGACAAGGAGTAGGGTTGACTGGCAACCACATGGTTTTTTTTTATTGGTCCTCCGATTTCCACCCACTGCTAAAGACCTCTACATGCAAGCGAATTATTGAAATAAAAATGAACCGTATGTTAGTCCCAGTTTTTGTCAAGTGGATGTTAAACCCCATTTCTCTCTGTCTGTATTAGATATCTGTCTTTCACAATGTTGTAGTTTGCAAGTGATAGTATTAGTATACCTATTGCTTAAAATGGCACATCATGACTTTAATTTCCCTGAAATGACAGGGACATATAATTCATAGTATAACTAACTAAAATCTTGTAGTAATGTGTAAAATTTTCTGGTTGTTTATGGTGGTTTATAAAAAACAATATTGCAGTAGCTACTTGCTTTTTTGAGCCTGTGAAACTGTTCAAAATTTGATGCTGGCACAGCAATAATTTTAATGCAGATCAGCCTATGCCCTATATTTTTTATTTTCAGATTTATTTGAATTTACTACGATATTTGAAGAGGAGAAACCCAAGTCAGTAAGTAAAGCTCTGAGTATACATGAACAACCTGATGGTACAGTATTAGGGATGTGTATCACTGGAACTAGTTCAAAAAACTCACTTGTGACGTGGATTCGGTACATGCAACAAACCAACCCTAAATTAGAAAAAATACCAATTGTCTTTCAAATGAGAACACCAGAATCTGGTTTACAGGTCATTGAAACAGATCAAGAGAAAAATGCCAGCAAATTTATTTCCTGAATATACAGCTGTTTAATGTGGAATAGAACTACTCTAGAAACTGTTACAGTTATATGCAAATGATATTTTAAGGTTGTTATTGCAAGCTTATCATTCAAGGATTAGTCAGACATGATAAACATCAATCATGTCAGTGAGGAGCTCATTCATTAAAAGAAAATATACTAATAGATTAATTCATGAGAATAAAGGTGGGATTTGGTTGCCGAGTGGCACTGTAGATCATGAAGTTTGATATTTATGCATATCAGAAGTTGGATCCCAAGATTATTCATGACAGTGATGAGGGTCACCTGCATGAGTTCATTGGGGTTTTTTGGGGGTTTTTTTTTAAAAATGATGTGAAATGGGGTTTAACGTCCCACTTTTCTGCACTGACTGTGCGAATAAAGGCGGCATACGCCATACAGTGTGCTCTGAGGGAAATTTTGCCCAGACGGTGGCGCTATGGCCTACTCTATGCCCAGACAGCGGCGCTAAGGAATTTTCTCAGGCAACATCGGGAGTGAACCCAAGACCTCCAGACTAGCAAGCCAGTGTCTTACTCACTGAGCCACCACGGACCCCAATTTCTCTTAAGGACTCCTGCACACATGCAAATTATTGAGAAAAATTTTGAATATTGAAAAGGTTTTTCCTAATAACCATAGTAACAATCCCTAGTGTGTAGTAGAGGGTTCACAACCAAAATAACCTAGTTTCTCCATCAATCCCGAACCAAGAAAACCTAGAGCTGTGACAAAGATAGTGCAAAACTAATATTTCTACCGCATTAAAATTGCTATGTGATGTTTCTTGTATTTAATATGTGTATAACTATTTATGAAAATAAAAAAGTGATACCTATTTACAAATGTATGCAAGGATGAAGTTGGAGAACTGATTTCAGTACCTGGTCATTTTCCTGTGAATACTTGTAGTGTCAAGAATAATGGAAAAATTGTTCTGGAAAAAGTAAGCATACCATGCCCCATACACTCGAATATGGGTGCCCTTAATTAATAATGCTTGTTGGATTTCCATAAATTCTGAATACTTTGTTTATCTTGAACTGATTATAGTACAGACCAGAGACCTTGTTTCAAAATTTTGTGTGTCTGACGTTTTTGGGGTTAACCAACGCCGGAATTAGATAACCAGAAGTTGTTGTCGGCTTCAGGAAATTGGGTCAATAAGCTTGCATTCCCTATAATAGACTTCAGCTATAGACTGCCCTCAAATATATTTCAGCTATTATTAGACATGCTAATTTGAAAATCAATAGAATGATCAATTTAGTCTTTAGAGCACAGGTGTGCCACAAGGTCTTCCTAAGTGTGCCACAAAATTTTGAAGGGCACACTAAGAAAATGTGAAAAAATACCATGTGATCCCAATTGAGTATTCACTGGTGTCTACTGAGTACTAGTAAGTTCATAGCTGTGTTTTTCTTTAGAGTCATTCTGTGTGTCTATGACTAGTCTGTGTCTATGGTTGTATTCCGTCTGACTTGCCATGTTTATTTTGCAAAATTCAAATATTTTTCATATATATTTAGCCAGGTGTGCCGCTATTTTCGTGTTCCAAGGTGTGCCGTTAGCAAAAAATGGTCTAATATGTGCAAATATCAAAAGGAATCAAAATCTCTGGGATATAAACATGTATTTAAGTTTCAACAAAATGGGATAAAAATTCTGACCTCTAGAGTGTCCACAACCTTTGTATTACATACTTTTACACTATTTGAGTGCAAGGAGAGGCAATTTTATCAGGCAGTTTTGGTTTGATTTCCATGAAATTAGACTGAACCCTCATTAGGTTGTAGCACCGATATATTTAAATGTTTATATTTAAATGTTTTTGAAAATCGGATAATAATTGTGACCTCTAGTGTGTCCGCAAGGTAAAAAACTTGATTTTCTGTACAATCAGGGGCCAATATCCAGGAATTTATGGTCTGATATGCGTGAATATTGAAAGAAATCGAGATCTTTGGGATTTTTCGTACAATCAGATATACTTATGGGAATGTGAGCAGAATAAAAAGACAGAACAAAATATATTCTTTTGATAATTTCAACTTTATCATTCTTAAATTAGTACATTCATATCATAACATTAACATACATACTGGGGATAAACTGAAGAAGACAGAAACATACATGTAGGTATCATATAGGCTTCATTAGGAAAAATTAAAGGCTATATTACGGAATAATGTACATTGTTTTTGATCTTTTGACACTTTTAAGCACAATATGATGTGCCTTATAGCTTACAAATTAAACAAAGATAAACATAGCTATTTCGCTCAATCCTACTATACTAGGATATGGCAATATAAATTATAACCTGTGATAACCATTTTAAGATAAATATCACAATATAGAAAAAATAAACATAAGATCCAATGAGCAATCAGATAATAATACAACTTTACATAATGTATATTAGATTACAATCTTATTCTACAGAGTTAAAAGAGGCATTATACAATTGTTGTTCATGCTATAAAAGTTCCAAAATAGATAAATAGAAATGTATACTGAAAATCTCAGTCAAATTAGTTTATTCTAAGCAACGTTATGAATGGCTTATTTTACTGGGTTTCAGACATGGATGCAATAAAATTTGTATTACTTTTAATCTAAATAGACTATATGTGAGAATAGAAAGCTGTGTTATACATTTTCAGAAAATTTCAGTCCGGGCAACTATATTGGCATTTAACGCAGATTAGCGGACATTGCCTAATCTACTTGATATCTAAGCCATCCGATTATGGGCTTGTCATGTGAATATAAGTCGAAATAATAATTTATATAACATTTGAAGCCAAAAACATGCTCTGCAATAGGCATATTTACCTGTTGCATAATGCCTCTTTAAAAGAAAGTTTTCAATAATTGATAGTTTATAAAGCTGTTTAATATCAGATTATTATCTTACCATAAATGGGTAGGCTACTTACTAAAATAAACAATGAACAGATTATGCAATAGTAAAACAATATAACATTGGAAGGTTTATAACATATAAAGATTATATATTAACTAATGACAAACATCATCATAAACCTAATACACTTGTTATTTTAAAATTGATGTTTACATGTTTAATATAGGTTAGTTAAAACCCAACCTGGGGTTTACATAAACACTTAATTTGCCAATGGCTACTAAACATTCAATACTCACATTTGAATAATAACAAACTGCTTCAAGAAACAATTTTATAAAGTGATATTAGGACCTGAGTTGTGATGCCATAGTTTAAATTAAGAGAAAGAAAGACGTTTGGTTTATGACAACAATTACTACCTACATCAATACTAGGAAGATCAGATCTAAATATTTATAAACACAAAATATCATTAAACAATTTCTCATCCTCATTGTTTATTACTTAGGCCATATCAATTTAATGTTTAGTTCTTCGGGGTCTTGATATAAAAAAAAAATACCAATGTTATTGTTAACATTTCAAAACATAAATATTTGAAACTAAAAGCAACTAAGTACTATTTGTTTTTAAATTAGTTTTTTCCTGAAGAAATTGGAGGCAGAATTTTTAATAATTTTTAATAAGTGTTCCCAAAGAGCAGAAAATTAAATAGGTGTGGCGTTAATCCGAATTATAGTTACAATGGTAAAATTCTCACTCAACATTAAATAAATACTCATTCATGCATTTTAAATATATTCTCTAGCATGAATTATCATGTATCATATCAATTCATTTACTTTAAAATATACAATTATTTTCACAACAATAACTTTGTCTTCTATTATATTATCTCACGCAGAATGAGTAAAGGGAGTAATTTTGAAATGGGCTCCCGTCCCATCCAAATTTTGCTTCTGAAGCATATCTTAGTACACATAGTCAACCTATTATTGTAGTTGTGCCATTTGCTTCCAGCAATTTTTTGGATTTAATCATTTTTGTGTTACCATCGAAACGAATTTGATTAGTGTTTGATATACAAATACTTGCCAACTACAATATTGACCCTCTACAAGAAATACCAGTTCAATTCCTTCAATATTTATTCAGAAAGTATTTTAATATCTGGCTTTCTCTGCAACCTATAAAAGCCAGTGTTGGGTAAAATATTTTGATAGGTCACTTTATAATCCAATTGAATCAGAGCTAGGAGATTATCTACCATAGAAATTTTGGTTTATTTTTTGTAAATGTTGAATAATCAATTTAAGTACACAGTAGCATGGGTCAAGTCATACGAAATGGGATATTGTGGCAAAAATGCAACTTCTAATCATTGGCTTTAAATAATTATAACATCAGCTTAGCTGATAACAAATATCATTAATTCATTTGTGTATTAGGGTGAACCTATAACTGTCTATGAACATCTGTGTATCAAGATGCATTATTGACAAGGGGGGGCTTGATTGTAAATCCGGAACGTCCTGAATTGGCAGAACGCAAATTCAGTCCTCTCCCAGTTCTGTCAGTTCCAACAACTGAGGTGGTGTAAGTAGAATCGTGACGTAATTAAATACAACGAAAAACCTTCAGCTGTCATGGTTGGTTGAAATATACGTGGGATTGAGAGAATTTGATTCCAGAACGTTCAATCCAGTATCCTCTAATTATCATCATCTCATCAAGATGAACCATTTCCAGAAACTTCTGTTGCTTCCAATAGAAATGGTGACTGATTGCAGAGTTATTGAGTAGTAGGTTGTGAGATCAGATGAGGTGAATGTGTAGCTGCCACGGCCATTAATAAATGATAATCACTCAAATCAAATCTGTAAATATTATTAACAAATAAACTTTCACTATAATTTTCTACACAAACTTGTATAGTGTATTGCTTGGACATTATTTTAATTGTAATGTGTAATTTGTGCCTAGTGACCATTCCAGTAAAATTGAGAAACATTGCTTGGACATTATTTTAATTGTAATGTGTAATTTGTGCCTAGTGACCATTCCAGTAAAATTGAGAAACATTAGTGCTTAATACTTCCGATTGTTTTTGAAAGTTTCATTGAAAAACATTATCCAATTAATGGTTTGGGACATTTTATAAAAAGTGTATCTCATTAATTAATTGTTCTATTTCATAGGTCTGGTCTCCATAAAATTGAATACTTACCCTAATGTAGTAGTTAAATCTTTAACATTTGTTCTTTCCACACCAATACGATATTCAGCCACCATCATACTTTTAAAATAAATTTCTTGCAGTCGGTCTTCTAAATGCATCATACACTAAAAACAATAAAACAAAAAATAATGGATACATTTTTTATAGGTATTCAAAGGTAAATTAGGAGAGCCATTACCGAATTTTAACTCCTTTTAGAAAAAATACAATTTATTTCATGACATTATTGGCCAAAAAAGGCCTATGCTGCTTACGCAAAGTCATTTCTTTTCCTATAAATAATAATTTGTGACTTTGCAGTAATCCATACTTTTAATAATACATGTAACTACAGAGGTCATAATTCTATGGAATATAATTACTGTTCAGTAATAAGCAGTAACTGTGTACTCCATAGAATTATGACCTGTGCATTCCAGTTCAATTACTAAATGCCATAGAAACAATATACTATAACTACTTACAAATTCTGGACTCATCTTAAGCTTCCATAGATCTAGTACTGATTCCACCAGGTTACAAACTAACTGTGATGCTACACATGTCGTACTACCAGCTGGATATTTCTCTATTAATTTACTGCTTGCTATCTCAACATTCCTGATAATAAAATATTTCAAACAATTAATAGAATAATTCTTGACATCAAATTTCCCAAACAATTAATTGGATAATTGTTTAATAAAACATCCCAAACAATTAATTGGATAATTGTTTAATAAAACATCCCGAACAATTAATAGGATAATTGTTCAATAAAACATCCCAAACAATTAATTGGATAATTGTTTAATAAAACATCCCAAACAATTAAAGGATAATTGTTTCATAAAACATCCCAAACAATTAATAGGATAATTGTTTAATAAAACACCCCAAACAATTAATAGGATAATTGATTAATAAAACATCCCAAACAATTAATGGAATACAGTTTTAATTTAAAGTCTGGTAATAAACCACCTGTTACACGTTGTCTGGCACAAATTCAGGCTTTATTAAGCATAGTGCCTCTGATGCCTATCATTTTGTCTGAAAATAAGCCACCTGTCACAGACATTGTCAGGCACAAATTCAGGCTTTTTCAAACAACTGTTTAGGATATTTTGGCTGGCACTTTTGAACTAATACCTGATATTTTGAACTGATATTTTGAACTTTTGTGTATTAGTACCATAATATCAATAAAAACACAATAAATACAACTCTATGCCAGAAAAAATGACTGGCATGAAAAATCCTGAATTTGTGCCTGACAATGTCTGTGACAGGTGGCTTATTTTCAGACAAAATGATAGGCATCAGAATACTGTATTTGAATGAAAAGTCCAGAAAAAATCTTTGCTGCATGAAGTTGATGGGTCTTGACAGGTAATTGGAATTACTGCTGAGGCACACTCTCTTTGGCATCCATTTTAACATAGTAAATCATTTAATAACCAACAAAACATGTACATAAAACACCTTTCTTGGTTATGTTTTGTGGATTGAGTCAACATTTATGCAAAACCCCCCAAAAAACCTACTTACCAATTATCAATATCTGCTATAATACAAACAGCCTCTGTTACTTCTTCATCTAGCACCGATTGTTGTACTGCCATTTGTAAATCATTCAATAATTTTGGGCGGAAATTTGTGTCTTTGGTACCGTGTAGAACAAAATCAGATAAATAATGGTCTGATATTCCAGCCAGTAAAGATCGTCCGAAATTCTTATCCATTCTTTGAATGCTTTTAGAGGTTATTTCATTATCAAACCTATAGAATATAAAATACACATTATAAATACAACTCTCTCCTAACACATCAACCAATTAACACTTTTGTTACTGGTTACTATGGTCACCAGCTTACTCTGCCAAATTCTAGTATAGCATATTATAATAATAAAATGGGACCAGGTAACCAGCTTTGTTGCTGGCTGGTGTTTGACTCTATGGAATATTTAAGTAGTGTGTGACGACCTGGTGACTGGGCCCTACTTAACGACAATTGACTAAGTCATTGCAGTCACTGTGCTCATTACTATTCTAGGTCTAGTAGCAGGTCAAATCATAGGTTCAGAGTCTGGGCCCCACGTAATGGAACGATAAATACATGCTAATCAAATGTCATTCTCAGAAACCGATTGTATGTCCCCAACACATGAACATATTAGCAAGCAATAGCGGGATTCTTTGAAAAAGAACGATTTAAAATGAACATTTAAAATTAGACTTACATGGGAAGAGGAATTTCATTACAATCTACGAATGGATCAAAATGATCGAAATCAATACTAGCTGAAGATGGATGACGACGTCTGTTTAGTTCAGTTGGTGTGACAGATCTGAAAATAATTATATGGTTTTTTAAGGACCCAGTTTTATTAAATGCATAATATATAAAACTTTAAATGTCAAAATGACAAAAGTTACTATTGTAACTAATCAAAAACAGAAATCTATAACTAGATAGATATTTGTTAAAAATGAAAATATGCTACATGTATAAGTTAATCAATAAAATAAGGCACCTGTCACAGACATTGTCAGGCACAATCGACACAAAAACTCTGGTGCCTGTCATTATGTTTGGCATTAATTTGTCTTTTTTTAGCATTCTTATTGATATTTTCACTACATGTCTGGCACAAAGCTTAAAATGTCACCTACAACTAAATTCAATATATCCAGGGGCCCAATTCAAGAAAGCTTACAATAAAATATGTTATGAATGTAGCTGTTTAATTGGCCAATAGCTAACATTTGTGCTATAATTATAGTGCTCAACCAATGAATCATCAGTATTCTTAAAATAAAATCCCTTTTATTTTTATGAATATGGACATAAGTATGCTTGTTAAATTCAGATTATTGTAGAATAAACTCCCATCAATTGTGAAAGATGCACCGACCGTATTGCGATTTAATAATTTATTAAAAACCCACCAATTTAAAGAATATTATGAGACTTATAACTGTCGTAGTACATAATGTAATTAGATTTTTTGTAGCGCTATAAGGATATACTTAGTGTACGGAGTTTAGCATGTTTAAAGTGCACTATTTATTAATTATAATTTAACACTAACCTGCATCTACCTGGAACAAGAGTTTTGGGCCTGCTGAGTTTACTTCTATCAACACTGTTATGACGTGATGACATTTTTCTCTCTTTGTTTGATTTATTGCTCAAATTAAAAGATTCTAATTCAACAACACTGGGTGATACCAAAGGAAGGCTGACAACTCGGTCGTGTTCTGCTATCTCATCTATTGTCTTTGTTTCGATACCGGAATCATAATATTCTTCAAACATACTATTACTACCTTCCTTAATATATAATTTTGCAATTTCCTTTCTTGAGAGCTTAGTTTCCGATTCTAGTTGCTGTGACAGTTTGGATTTTAATTTTCCACTGGAGCCGAAACTCTGCGAATATTCCCCTTTCTGATCTTCGAAGGATATTTCTCTACTAGGCGCTGCCCTGAACACTTGTTGAACGGTTTCAATTTTACTGTTTTCTATCACTTTTAACGCGGACAAACTACACGGAACAGAAACATTTCCAGTAATCTCACCGACATCTCTCGGAAAATGAAACTGATTTTCTTTCAAAGATTCACTTAAATTGGGTGTTAAAACTTTATTTACTTTGTCTCTGGAATCGGATTTTGAAAATTCGTTGTTGGCTTTATCGTAACTGCCAAAATCTAAACTGGACGTACTTGTGATCATTCTATGGTTGGCTGAATGACTAGAGCTACAGTTTGAATTGGAATCGTCAGCAGGAGTGAGTATTCCTACTGATGTTCTATCACTGAGTGTTGGAGAAGCGTCAAATTTAATATCCGCTATATAGGAAGATAGATTAGTATAGTCAGTACATTCGTGAATATCACTACAACGAATAAAGTAACTCAGAATTGTTAAAACTTTTTTCACTAGATCTGCATTTTTTCCAACTACAACTGTTCTGGCTTGTTTTAAAGGATAGCCTATTGCGCCATACAAATCACTGGAAAATACAAAGTTAAACAATTTTAATTATATTGTGGGTGAGAGCATTTTCAAGTTATTGGAAATGATAAAGATGAAATGGGGCTTTAACGGCTTACTTTTCTGTACCAACCAGGCTAATGGAGACAAATTTTGCCCAGGCAGCAACACTGTAACCCAAGTAGCATTTAATCTTGTGTATCTAGCACTAATTTCTTTCACATTCGTTTAATATCAAATTTTTATTTAAAAATTCGTAAAAATCATTTAAAACCACCAAAAATCATCTAATTTGTACTTGTGTCCAGTTTAAAGCTGACTGATTAATTTTGATAATGAGTTTTCAATTTAATTTCCTGACCACTGCTCAAAAATTAATCATTATACATCATTAATCAATTGTGTTGTTTATTTTTTAACAGTGATTGAGAAATTAAACACTTGTAAGCTGGACACTCATTATCAAAATTGAATGGTCAGCTTTAAACTGGACAGAAGTACAAATTAAACGATTTATGGTGATTTTAAACAGTTTTTAAGAATTTTTAAACAAAGATTTGATATTAAACGAATGTGAAAGAAATTAGTGCTAGATACACAAGATTAAATGATACCTGGGTTACAGTGCAACATTTCCACAGATTATGCATTATAATCTAACTGACAGGGATTCTTTAACATGTTCACCAACAATTATATGGGTTGACCTAGGTTTTCCGTGCCCGAATGACTGGACACTTTTACTTGCTCGGTTCTCTGTCCTGCACCAACGACAAAGGGAAACCAGCCTGGGGAATCCCGTGGAAATTTCTCGAGCAAGTTATTGGAACAAATTTCGATTTAATTTTATGATTCATACCAAAACAAATGCAGTAATAAATATTTATCTTTCTTCTTTTTAAAATATTCAGATAGGTGTAAAAATGCTAGAATAATTTACCCAAGTAAATATTTTTTTCTTACCTTAACTGGGCCCACAGTGGATTATACGGGTGAACTTTAGCTAAATCATCAATCTGTAAATACAAACATTTAATTTTGTTCCAATTATGTTTTTTTATCTTATATTAATTTTAATTATAGGATTTACCATCTTTCATTGGATTTCATGTTAGGACACAGAGTATAACGTTTTGATTTCATGTTAGGACACAGTATACAGTTATGATTTCATGTTACAACACAAGAGTACAATGTTATGATTTCATGTTAGGACATAGAGTATACTGTTATGATTTCATGTTAGGACACAGACTTTATTTAAGGACACTTTTTTTGACACTTAGATCCAGCTGGCTAATCAGTAAGTAAAACTACAAGATATAAGTATTTCATAAACGAGAGAGAAATAAGGTTTAAGTCCACAGGACACAAACTAGACCATTTCGGGACTAATATTTTATAAATAAATCGACCTACCCATTTAGCCGAATGTTTTTCTTCATATGTTGTAGACAGCGTTCCTCCTGCCGGTGTTACTGTAGGAACCCAGGCTAGGTGATGTGTTAAAACCGCTGATATTAACGTCGATATAAAACTAAAAGTAAAAAATATAATAAAATCTGTGGAACAGCCGCATAATGTCACTTAAGCCTTAAGAGAGAGAGAGAGAAATGGGGTTTAACGTCCACTCGACACAAACTAGGTCATTTCGGGACTAACATATGGTTTAATTTTATTTCAATAATTCGCTTGCGCGTAGGGGTCTTTAGCAGTGGGAGGAAACCGGAGGACCTGGAGAAAACCCACGAGGTTGGACAGGCGACCCTACTCCTTGTCACGTACAACCAGGGATTCGAAACCACGCCAGTCGACTCAATGACAGACTTTATGATACAGCGCTCGCACGCTAACCATTCAGCCATCCAACCCCCCTTAAGCCTTAAGAGTCTGAATAAGAACGACAAGTAGCATCATGATACGCACCACTATATAAATTTCTAACTTTATAGAAACATACAAAATGGAGCTAGGTAAGTTATTTCATCATCCAAAAAGATTTATGAGAGAAATAAATGGGGTTTAATGTCCACTCAACAGAGTACAAAATAATTACAAATGAAGATGATGCTATATATAACTAGGTTACTGATGTTTCAACCCTACTCCATATACATACTATAAACTGTTTCAATGATGGCATTTAGTAATTGAACTGGAATTACACAGGTTACATTTCTATGGAATACAATTACTGCTTATTAGCATTGCTTGATAAAGACTAGATAAGCCCAGTTGAAACGTTGCTTATCATTGCGTGATAAAGACTAGAGAAGCCTAGTATATGGTCTAATGTCAGGCTAATTTGTGTAGATAATAATTGAAAACAACAGATATACTTACAATTTTGTACTTTTATTGTCGTATTTGGCTACCAGCGTCATAAAGTCATTCATAAAATCTTTACATAAAGCGTAACGATTGGTACTATATGACATCATATTCAACCAAACAGGTTCAGACAGACGTGGCGCCATATACAGATCAAACACATCATTACGCAGAACATCTAGTGCCTGAAAATATCAAGAAATGAAATGAGATGGGGTATAAAGTGCTACTTTTCTACGCTGACTGGGCTAATGAAAACAGGAAAATAGATGAAAATTCAGGTTTTTATGATGCATGCTTATTACTTTTTAAACATACTTTGCTCACAATTGGCTGCAATAAGTCCTGCATAAATCCATTATAATAATTATATAGATATATACAGCAAGAGAAATGGGGCTTAACATCCACCTGACACAAGCTAGGTCATTTTGAGAATGACATATGGTTCAATTGACTTCAATAAATCGTGTGCGTGTAGGAGTCTTTAGCAGTGGGAGCAAACTTGAGCACCTGGAGAAAACTCATGAAACTTGATTCAATGACAGACCTTAAGATCTAAAGCGGATGAATTAAACCACTATAATATCATATAACCCAAGTAATATATAGCTTTACTTACATCCATAACCAATGGTATAAAATTTCTATGATTAAATAAAGCACTGGCTACCACATTCTCTAATTTATTCACGTGACCTTCAAACAATGTAATATGAGAGAAGAAAAACTCTTGAAATAACCTGAAACAAAATCAATATTCATGTATAAATTGATAAGATTTTCTCATATTTCACTTTAAAATATAATACATTACATAACACTTAAAATGAACTGCTTAAATTTAGGAGATTAGATTTAGTCAGGGTCAAAATTAAGCCATTGGTTGATTTTGTATCACCGACAGCAGGCGATCCTCCTTTTCTATTTTAAGTCATGGCTACAACAGTCATTTTTTACTGGCCTGAATTAGCGTGTCACGTCATTTCAATAATGAACTAATTTCAGATGTCTGTCATTATGAAAGATTCTGCCAGAGATGTGACTTTTGCTCAACTTGTCTAGGTAATAACATAGGAAAACAAGCACGAGAGTACTGTATTGACCAGGAACGGATCACAATATCATTGTGGCCATCTTGAAAAGTATATGAAAAGTCAATGTTCAAAGTCTATGAAAAGTAAAATACCTGCTACTTTCTTCATGTCTTTCTTCTGGTGTATCAATTAATATAGCTATACCCACTTTACTTTTCTTCTTTATTTGTAAAGCCTTCTGTAATCATCCAAAAAAAATGATTTAAAATTATAATAGCTTAGGTCTAACAAATCTACGTCTATGTTCTTTGATTCATATGGCAAAGATAAATATAGGATTTTGTTTTGTGGCTACTATTTAGGACTGATTGTAATTTTTGCATATTTATTTATTTTGATTAATAAGTGAACAATTACAAAAAACTAAGAAACTCAAAAATGGTTAAGACATCCACTAACACAAACAAGGTCATTTTAGGACTAACATGAAATATTTCTATTTTAATAATTCCCTTGTGTACATGACTCTTTAACAGTAGGAAGAAACAGTGGAACCTGGAGAAAATCAGAAGATTAAGCAGATGATTCTACTCAATGTTAACTACAACCACATGACTGAGGCTATGATGCTTGAATCAATGACAGGCCTGATGTGTCAAACCCTGTCATAACAATAAAACAATAATACATACATCTACTGATTTCTGTTCTGTTGTTTTACGACCTAGTGATGTGGTCTGAGTCCTCATCCACCGTCTGTGTAGACTATTATAACTACTACCACTGTTACCACTATTACTAGGTGAGGGAAATGGTGCTGTAAAACTCCCACTTGATGTAACTAAAATAGAAAATAATCATATATTTCAACTCATATTTACTCTTTAAAACCCTAATCATAGTTTCTAGGTGTACATTTAATGTTGCTATGCATGAATAGAAAATTCAACACCAGGAAATCTTTATGTTATTATTGAAAAAATCATGGTAATTTTTTATATCTAATTAAAAAAAGAGAGAGAGAAATAGGGTTTAAAGTTCAATCGACACAATCAAAGTCATTCCTGAACTAACATATGGTAGAAACCAGATAAAACCCACAAGGTTGGGCAGGTAACTCTACTCCTTGTCTTTAACTATGTGAAGAACCAGTGGAACCCGAGAAAATCCAAATGGTTGGGCAAGCAAACCTACTCTTGTCAGATACAAGTTTGGGATCTAAACCACACAACTTAGCTGAATGACAGACCTTATGATCTAATGCGCATGTTTTACACCGCTCAACCACCCATAAACCCCATATACAATAAAAAAGACCACAGCATGTTAAATATATGTACACCTACATGATGCTAGACCACTATCTTCATCTAGGGTATCTAATGAAGAACTGTATAAACTATCAGGTGATGGAACATCTACTGGTATACTTTGAGCTGAAAATATAACATATAACTAATGTAATGACTGATAACGGCAAATGTCTAAGTTTACCTACAGGAAATTTTTAGATTTTGTCCATTAAACATCTTGATTTGAATGTTATGAAATAAGGGCACAGTTTCATAGCATAAGAAGTGAACCCTCTCTTCCTGAACAGAGGTTAACACTATTCTTTAACAATGACAAGGTCTAAAAAGAGTTTAAATATGAAGAAGTCAAGAACATTTTACTGTAGTAAACAGTTACCTATGCTCTTTCCACTGGTTGGTTGAATAGTAACATTACGAGGTGTAGGAAACACACCTGTATGATTTGGTAAACTACAAGAATCATCTTCTATTTCACTGCAAAAACATAAAGAACTACACTGAAATTAAATCTTAAAGATATATTATGCAAGAACTATGTAGTCTTTTTTTCTGGCTCAAAATGTTATATAAATTATTTCTTTATACAAGTATTCACATGAGAAGCCCATAATCAACTCTCTAGAACATTGGATGGCCAAGATATTAAGTGGATTAGACCATCTACACCATGTAAACGTTTAATGTTAAGTCACTGAAGGAAAGGACTGACAATCAAGATTTTGTTTAATATCATGACAATGGTACTTGACAATCAAACGTTGAAATAATAGATACAAGTTTTAATTATATAGAAATATTTCTTGCATTGTATTTTTGAGTAATTTGTATATTAAACAATAACAACATAAGGTACTCACCTCCCTGATTCTCTTTTTGGTTTTTCTGACAAGAAAACTTTGGTTAGCATAAGCCGAGATGGTGTTCTAAAAACAAAAATATACAGAAACAAACAATTATTCAGGGTTCTTGTATGTCTATCAATTTTAAAACCATTCTCAAATTTCTTAGCTAAAGCTAGCCCAAAAATTTCATCCATGACAATACACCTTAAGGCAAAACAGGTGTTGGTATAAAGAGCGGTTCAGAGTGGTTTATATAGTGAAGCCCTTATACTATCATGGAGCCACAGTGGTTCAATGAGTGTAAGTAAGGCACTGGCTCCTCGCTATTGTTGGCCAAGTAACTTCCACCAGGATTTTCCAGTTGAAGTGCAGGTTGGAGAGCCTGGCAAGGAACAGCTTTTAGTCGATTGGACACTATGGCATTAAAAGAACCATTGACAGTTACTATTCGAAATAATTTCCCTCATAGCATTTTCCCAGTTGGTGCAGAAAAGTAGGACATTAAACCTTATTTCCTTTCATTTCTAACTATCAGGTTTACATATATTTAGAGATGCCTACCTCTCTGGTACACAAATATTTTATTATTTCTTGTATAAGAATTATCAAAATTATAAATAGTTTGTAAATTTATACCTAATATGATGAACTTTAAAAGATGACCCACGGTAAGCCATTGCTACAGCACCAAACATCATCTCTTCTATAACTTTTACATCACCTCCTAATTTCTGGAACTAAAATATAAATCATTCTATATACAAGTCTGCATGATTGATACAATTATTAAAGAACCATTGTTAAATACTATACTCAACTGTTTTGTTTTAAAATTAGATCCTTTTAGTGATAGGATAAGCCTCTCACTATTTTCAAACCTACCAAGCTTGCTGAGATAACTTGCTTTATTATCAATCTCATGGCATTTCCAAGACTGTGTCAAGGCACAAATCTCAATAGAAATCTAGGGCTAGGGAGGCTTGCCAAGATACCTTGCTTTATAATCAATGTCATGGCATTTCTAAGACTGCTTCAAGGAATTTTTTATACAACTCTCAATAGAAATCTAGGGCTATAATCAATCTCTTGGATTTCTTTTCCCAAAATTTGAGAGATAAATTTATTACAAATCTCAATAGAAATCTAGTGCTAGGATTGTTGAGATACATTGCTTTATAATCAATCTCTTGGATTTCTATTTCCCAAATTTCCACAACCATAATGTTATACAGTGATGTACATAAGGTCAAGTCTCTTGTACAAGTTAATAACAATGAATGACAGCGTGATCTAATACCTGATACTTCGAGTTGGGATGACCTTTTTGACAAGGACTAGATTCAGGGGTCATTTGAATTCTCTGGTGACCAATATGACCATTCCTCGCTCCACATCTTTTATTCTGAAGCTGAAAAATATAGATATCATAACCTTGCGGTACTTTTCATAAACAAAATTACCATGAAAACAAGGTCATTTCTAATGTAAAGAAACACATCTTTCTTCAGGAGTGACAGAGCAATTAATCATCGATTTCAATAATATTCACAAGAAGTGATTAGTCATTCTTGATGAAATTTTTTAATCTTTTTCAAAATAAATTTCAAGTTCAAAATTTAATATCTATGGTTCTAATGATTCAAGCATGGTCAAAATGGACAATAAACGATCTCTAAATTCGAAACATGAAGTATTTTTATCTCCTAATTAGATACCATATACTGAATAGTAAAAATTACCTGAGGAACATCTTCAACTCTCTTGATGGCAGAAGAGTCAAATAATGGGGTCCTGCCTCGATCATAATCTTTATAAATAATCAATCGTATCTTATTTTTATCAAATTTGAATTGATCCTGTCTGAAGTGAAAAGAAAAAACAAAATTTGAAATTATCCGATAAATAGCAATACCTTGTTTCTCCTCTCGTAGGTGTCTTTTTAGCAGTGAGAAGAAATCCATGAGGTTCGACAGATGACCCTACGCTCCTTGTCACGTACAAGCGTGTAATCTTGACTCGGTGACAAACCTACTGATCCAATGCACATGCATCAACCATACAGTCACACAACCCCAACCAACCCCCCACCCAAAGCTAAGACAAACTGCAGGTAGGTCAATTAACACAATCTAGGCCATTTTGGTACAATATGATACAATAATATTTCAATTATTCACAAGTGTGTAGTGGTCATTAGTAGTGGGAGAAAACCTTAACTGAAGACATTGGAAAAAAAAAAAAAGGTGGACACAGGCGACCCTACTTCTTGTCACGTACAGGCTTGGGAACAAAACCACACCACTTGACTCAATGACAGACCGTATGATCTAAAGAGAACACATTATGTTACTCGACCTCCCACCTAAACCCCATTACTATTGATATATCATTCATCAATTTAAGAACTATAACTTTCACACAGTGTGCTATGAGGGAAATTTTGTCCAAACAGTGGTGCTACAGTCTACCCTTAAATCGATTTCCAACTGCCATGGGTTCTTAAACATGTTCGCCAATGTGTACACAGCTACACAGGACCTTAATTTTCCACCCCATCCGGATGACTATGTTGTCCTTTGCCAGGCCTTTGGGATAAAGTTTACTGACCCTTATTTTTACAAATACATGTAAATCTCCAAATGAAACATTTATTATGGTTCATGTTTTTTGTCATATAGCTAAATTATCATGTCAGATTGAATCAAAGTCCAAGGGTCTACTCTTGGTCCATTTGTCATCGAATGATCCTATACTACCCCTCAAAGATCCAACAGGTCCTACCTAAATGCTTCATCAAATAAATTTATTACCCATATTGAATGAAATGAATTGCATTCTGATATCTATTTGATTTCCTCAATTAAACAGACAAAGAAGAAATAAAGATATTTAAATTTCATACCGGTACAACACGGGATAGAATACAAAATAACAGTTGGTTATGCAGGTTCAACTAAGTTTAGTTAATAACATGTACATAAAAAATCAATCTATGATAGGATAGAATACAAAATAACAGTTGGTTATGCAGGTTCACCTAAGTTTAGTTAAAAACATGTACATAAAAAATGATTCTTTGAATCTATGAGATGTTACATAGATTTATTATACACTACAAAACAGAGAGAGAGAGAGAGAGAGAAATGGGGTTTAATGTCCACTTGACACAAACTAGGTCATTTCGGGACTAACACATGGTTCAATTTTATTTCAATAATTCGCTTGCGCGTAGGGGTCTTTAGCAGTGGGAGGAAACCGGACGACCCGGAGAAAACCCACGAGGTTGGACAGGCGACCCTACTCTTTGTCACGTACAACCGGGGATTCGAAACCACGCCAGTTGACTCAATGACAGGCTTTATGATACTGCACGCACGTGCTAACCATTCGGCCATCCAACCCCCCGCGCTACAAAACAACCATTTGAACATCATAATACTTAAAATAAAATTCTAAATATATTTAATTTTGCTTACCTTTTTTCTGAATAACACCCATTCCTAAATGCATTGATATTGTAATTACTAGTACCGATACTTAAAAACTGCACCATACTTTTTTTTTTGTTAATTTATATTATAATTATAAATTCTCAAGTACTACTATCTTACTATCAAATGATGCCAGACAATTACCATGTTTAAATTTTACAGAATATGTCAATCACAGTAGTTCATTGAATACCCCCTCAGGTAGAATTGATCATACTATGATGATGTGTCAAAGGCCATCACGTGCATACATATCATATACCACCTCGTGATGATAGTACAATATGTAACACTCATGTAAATGCGATGTTAGATACAGGTCTATTTAAAGTAGGCGTGACAATCGATAATCCTTGGGGTATTAGACATCAGCTTGTACTACTGAACGTCTTGTGATCGCACAACCAGTCATGGGACCCGATGAACAGTTAGTCCGATAACAAACTGTGGCGTGAGGTCATGTAGTCTTGTAAAGATTGTGAATGGACGTCACATTTTGACATTCACATCGATCGAAATTGTATCCGGCACCTTATTTGGTAACGAGATTTAGAAACAGTTATAAAATGAATGTTTTGGGAAAGAGCGAAACGTTGTACTTTCTTCTAGATTGTACTATCAGTATCAAGATGGGGCCTTGTTTACAAATCACATGACAGGATTAATAACCTCACTTCAGTGATCACCCCTCGTGCTGTTTATTTACAATAAATGTCGGGTAGTGGCAGTTGTTATGGATTCTTAAATAAAATCCCGTTTTACGTCATTTCTTCGTCATTAATCCACCAAATTGAAGTCTGAAATTGTAAAATACTTACTGTTTTGTAAGATCACATCCATTTCGAATTACAGATGTATCTGGGGGATTTTTCTTCCGATGAAATAGTCGCTGAAGTAATGCCATATTGGCTCCATTTGTTATCACATGACGAATAGCGTAGTCGCGATTTTCAAGTCGTTCACGTGGGTGTTCAAATTTTCCAAAGATTTCAGTCTGGATGAACAAAATCAATATCGGTCTCGTCAATACTCGTGACAATTTGTAAGAATACTATTCATTGGGTAACCTCCTTATTATAACGGTACACGATTGGTTAAGAAAAGACATTTTCGCGCCTACATTAGCCTCAGCTGGATTTTCTCATGAAAGTGCCATTTTTCAATTTGTTTAATCGAGGTTTTTTATTATTTTTTTTTTCAATTTATTTATTTTGATAGTATGCAATTAAAAACAATTTCAGTATAATTTAAAATAAACAGATAGATAGGTAGAATTTTAAAATAAAAGAATGTGCGTCTCACCAGGTCATTGTTAAAAATGAAAGGTTAAGAATTAAAGCCTTATAATCCTACTAATAATAAAAAGTTCTGAGATTCGATCGTCTGTTTCTATGGTCTTAAATTTTGGTCTATTTCAAGGTGGGGGCCCCGTGGCACAGTGAGTATAACCTTTAAGGCAGTGGTTCATTAACCAGTTGGTCCGGTGTTAGTCGAAAAATTGAAAGGGCGTGACAAGGAACAGCGTCTAGTTGTTCGGGTGGTACGATAATCTACAGCCTTAGAACTTAGAAGTTGCTACACGTTGGCAGTTCGAACTCGAAGAGTATGCGGAAACGCCGCTCTCTGGACCAATTTCCCCCATACTGCATGGTGTAGGCTATGTATGTAGACTACGTCTTCATTATCCAGGCTGGAGCAGAAAGTAGGACATTTTAAACACCGTATATCAGTATCAGTTCATATATTTTTTAAGGTAGCCCTAATTAGTGGTATGTCTCTAATTGTCCATCATTACCCCCCTTTGTTTTTGTTGTCTACAAGTAGGTCTATATCATGTTCAAACGGAAATTGTATTCTATACATTTGTGTCCTGTGGAATTCCACTTCAAATATTACTAGGGCCTACATGCCATTGAGATAATTTAAACAGTTTGACAAACTATTTTAAACTCTATACCATATGCATCAGTCAACAGAAAACCAATGTTATATGCATTTAATACCAGGGTAATACCCTCTCCGTTTTGGAAAAAAAATACGAGCTGCTTTATTTTATATCTTTTGGGGAATTTTTATTGGTTTGGGTGGTAATTTATGCAAAAGGGAATTGAAATAATCTAGTTTCGAAATAATAATGGTATTAAGTGTCTATACATCAATATATCAACAAATTTTACCAATGTAGAATTACTGTGCGTGTTTTATTCCTCGGCGTCTAGTCGTTTGGATGGGACAAAAAAATGAGGTCCCTTGTACACATTGGCATGCACGTGAAAGAACCTTTGACTGTTGGAATTCGAAATGAGTAGGCCATAGCACACTGTTTGGCGTACGCTCGTCTTCATCAGGTCAGTCGATGCAGAAAATTAGGCTGTTAATCCCCATTTCATTTCATTTAATTTTATTCCAAATTGAATTGCCTGTAAAGTTTAATGAAATTATATTTCATCCGATGTTTCATATAATCAGGGGCCATAATTCAAAAAGTTATGGTCTGAAATGCGCGAATATCGAAGGGGACGGAGATCTTTGGGATATAAAGATATATTTTAAGTTTCATCAAAATCGGACAAAAATTGTGACCTCTATAGGGTCCACAACCTCCTATATATTACATACTTGTACACAATTTGCGTGCAAGGAGCGGCCATTTTCGGTTCGATTTTCACGAAATTCGAACTCAACCATCATTAGGGTGTAACGGTGATATATTCAAATGGTTTTTTTTAAAATATTTTTGCACATATCGGACTGTGCACGTTATTAGCTTGTGGACACTCGAGAGGTCACAATTTTTATCCAATTGTAAAAAATGTTTAAATTTATCGCTGTTACACCCTATTAACGGTTGAATTTCCATTTCGTGAAAATTGGACCAAAACTGCCTGACAAAATGGCGGCTCCTTGTACGCAAATAGTGTAAAAGTATGTCATACCAAGGTTGTAGACACTCTAGAAGTCATAATTGTTCTCAGATTTTGAGGAAACTTAAAAAATATATGTTTATGTCCCAAAGATCTCGGTTTCTTTGGCTATTTTCACATATCAGAAAGTAACGGCTGCTCTTTGTACGCAAATTGTGTAAAAGGATGTAATACGAAGGTTATGGACCCTCTAGAGGTCACAATTTTTGTCCGATTTTGATGAAACTTAAGATATATCCCAAAGATCTCAGTCCCTTTTGATATTTGCGCATTTCAGACCATAACTTTGTGCATTATGGACCTAATTGTATGAAAAATCACCTTTGTATATTTAGCCTGTTCTCTATCCATCTCTTACAAAATGTGGGCAGATCTTGGCTGGGAACCGCAGGTTTATTTTTGGTCCCGAGCATGGTTTATGCCATTAAGTTTATCTTAAAAAGATCAAATGCTATGCTAGTTTTTGTAAGTGCTGATATGTTGTTCCATAAAAATGCTACAAAAGCAGACAAACTTTCCGCTAATACTGTTTACATTTTGAAGGTATCACCCAATTCTGATATTTATTCGTCACAAACAATAGATCAAAGTTTGATCTATTGTTTGTGACAAATAAATACATGGGTATGAATAATAGTTCCAAAAATCTTGAAAAACCATATCTCAAAAACTTTGACCAAGGTTTGAAAATCCAACTACTGGTACCTAATTTTAAAAATAAATACATTCACATTAAATGTACATGTATATAAAATTAATTCTTGTTTTATTTCTGATTAACATTGGATTAATTTTCCTTGAGATTGTTGTTTAGAATTGCCAGTAGTGGCAAAATGATTTAGGTCTTTTATGGCATGGTTTTGATCTCACACTTGTACCTGACAGGGAGAAGAGTTGCCTACATAACTTCAGGTTTTTTCACTGGTTCCTCTGGAATCCTCCCACTGCTAAAAAACCCTACGTACAATAAAATTGTACCATATGTTTGTACCGAAAAGACAGAAAAAAGAATAAACTATCCAAGTTAGTTTTTAGAATTTGCCTTTATTTTATAAAACTATAAAAATATAACTAAATAAATTAAAGATCACAGATAAAGAATATAATAGAATATAATCTTAAAGAACAGTTCTTAATTTATTATAGTGCCAATAGCAGTGATGCATCAACCATTCCTGCATCCCTCAATGCTATTTCTAAAATTATAAAAGTAAACAAAATAAATTATAGATCACAGATAAAAGAGATAACAGCTTTTATTTATTATGGTGCCAATAACAATGATGCATCAACCATTCCTGCATCTCTTAATGCTCTTTCTAAAACTTGTGACCTAGCTTGTTGCCCGTCTCTTGCTTTCCAATCTTTAAACATTTCTAATACCTGAAAGTAAATATTGTATAAGACACTAATGAATGTCGTACTCATGGATTTATATGGAACTTATGAATGTCACTCATCCTATAAAGAAATATTGTTTAAGACACCCATGAATGTCAGTCAAACTCAACAATCAAGTTAACTGTATTCCTTAAAATAGCAATATTTTTATTAGTTTATAAAAACCAACCACAGAGTTAAAACATGTTACATTATGGTCATTAACATACTTATTGAATGATAAAAACCTTCAAAAGTCTCAAGTACAACATTTGAAAACTCTAATTCTTAAATTGGTAGGCTACCAAAATAACATTTGTTTACAAAGTGACACAATAGTGAGATAAACAATGGACATTATTCAAGAATATTTAAAGTCTGAGAACTTAAATACTATTAGAATTTCTAAATACACAGTCAAAAATTGCTATGATGAAAAGACGATTTATGGCTTGAATAGACTAATTACCACTTTAATAATTAAGAGTATTTCTGGAGAGCAAGGATGAATTACAATAAAATAACTATAAATCCTCGTAACAGAGCTATCGGCTTTGATTTAGATACATGTATTGGACTTGGTAATTTTGATTAGTATATGGTCAAGCTCTATAAGATTTAATTTTTGTTTTGAATGATTACCATATTTTCCGGTGTATTAGGCGCATGCGTAGATAAGGCGCAGGGCGAGTTTGGCAGAGGTGTTTCAGGAAAAAATAAAAATGCATGGTTTAGGCACACCCTTCTCCAGCGCCTTGTGAAACACGTGCCATACCATAATTACAATACGTGATTCAAATACACTTGCGATCTCCAGTAATTGGGCCAAACTCTACTGTTTACAGTTATAATAATTACCGATATTTAGCTGTATCCAGCTTTATATATATATTTCTTTAGGAAATTAAACTCTATATCCATTTTTTGAATTGCATAAGACTTTATATTAATTACAACTTTCAACTGAATTTGTTTCATAACTTAAATGGTAATTCTGGCGCTTGTATGGTAGTCAAATTGTCATTAGAGTCCCGTCCACAACACAAATGGCCGTCTATTACATCCTGTTTATTTCATGAGCAATTGGCTGTGATAAATGAATAGGTATTGATGATAAACAAATGAAATAATAACTGTAGAAATAATTTATCATGATCAGTTACTCACGGCTTAAATCCTGACTACCGGTAAAAAGAGAAACAATAATTCTAGTTTATTTTATACTATCCAAACAACTGACAATCAAACAGTTGTGTCAATTGCCCTGCCCACTACACGCAGCATGACAATACCTAGATTGAGGCCATTTATATCTATCAGTAACATAAGACAATAGCATTTTTAATACAAATCAAAGAAACAATGATTTTGTGAACAACAAACAACTTCATAAAGCATACGATGACAACTCACCGGTAATAGATAAAGCGAATAGATGGAGCGTCCCATGTTATCCACAAATTGTGAAAGAATGGGTTGACTGTCAATCATAGACGTCGTGAAGATTTGCCGTTTGGGAGAACAGGTTAGACAGAACTACTTCGTCGATGTTTCTGGAGTTTACCGCCCACATCCACCAGGGGTGATATCGTAGACAAGAGAACAACAGTTTAACTATAACCCACCCTTACTACCAATGAAATATATATTGAGCCAATGAAAATGCTTGTATGAATGCATATCCCGCCCTATTCGTCAACTTAACTGACAGCACCATTGACCTTGAACGGGGACGTGCGAGGACTGCCGATAATGGCCAAAGTATACGGAATAGCAGAAATATATGATGTAGAATTAGCAAGAAATATTAATGATACGTATGCTATTTTTTAAAACATCGTTAACGGATAGCCTAAAATGTCGACATCTTTTTTAATTTTTATGCACGAAATAACATAAATACGGGCGATAATTATTGACATATTTTAACCGTATCTAAAGGTTATTGAAAAATATGGACGAATTTTAAACTATCTAAAATATTACTGACAAATATAAATGGACACAAAAGGAAACAGTTTTGTGTTTAATTTGTGTGGTAATTTATCATAAACTTTTGAGGTAGCGTCACCCGGTCGACATGTATTGATTCTAGGGCAGTTATTTCTTGAACTCCTAACTTCGGTGTCCACACGGGAAAAGCCTGGATTCGCTTAACGTTATGTATTAGGCACACCCCTTCTAGAAAATAAAATATTTGGTAAAAAAAGTGCACCTAATACACCGAAAAATACGGTTAAATCAACACATGAAATCCACAAATTTATTTTAACCCAGATTGTGGAGGGAGTGTCATTTCAGTTTACCTGTTCTTTAGAATTACCAGGGTAGATTTTTCTATAATTTTCCACATCATTAGTGAAGAAACCCAGTCTATTGGCTACCATATCCCAATCTCTTCTATGGATCTTTTCAGCTATTTCTCTGAGAACTCCATCACTAGGTATTTTATCAAATGGAGACATTGTTATAGGTCTATGTCCTGGTAGTGGTGTAGGCATAGATAACCGACTGATCGAATTATTATTCTCACCTTTAAACTGTAAAATATTTTTTAAAAACTTGTAGAAAATATAATCAACAATTAAAGACAGGTAGAGATAGGTTTGGCAGGCAACCCTAATCCTTGTCTTATATAAGCATGGGATTATAGAAATATTAAACAGTAAAATATATTTAAAAAAACTTGTTTTAGAAAAATATAATGGAGGGAGAGAGAGAGTGAAGAGAGCGAGAGTGTTGGGCAGGCAACCTGAACCCTTGTCTTTGTATGCATGGGACCGACCGTAACTCCTATCCACCGGAGTCATTTGAATAGCCATAGTGTCCCCAAGAACTAGTATATACAGTCCTTCCTACAACACCTCAAGCTATACACATATCTCACGTAGTTTATTTGAATGGCTGTCTAATGAACAGTAGTTTCGTCCGGTGTCAGACTGTTCAACGATGGTATTATTACTTTTCTCTAATTCTCTTTAAGGAACTGGCCTAGTCCATATTTACAAGTGCTAAAAGGTTCAACTCATCATTTGCCTATAAAACAGGTCTGATAAGTAGTAATCCAAGGCATTGTTTATCACTCTGCTTAACCTGAGCACAAAATATTCATTATCGAACTTGATTAAGTTATTGATGTAATTAAACTACACTTGTTAAAGTTGTTGTGTTGCAAAGCTTAGCCTCCCCTGAAAATTGCCATCGTCAAACTCACTCAAGATATTTAACTAATGAACATCTACAAAAAGTTTGAAAGTTCAACCTCAAACAGAAGCAAAGTTACTGTGTTCCAAAAGGCGTGACAGACCAGAAATAACAATTTGAAGACTAAAGGGAGGTAACTGTGTAATAAGTTCCTGACATCATATTATCTCCCCTTAGACCACAAATTTAATAGTTTGATTTCTCAAATGAATTAAATTATAATTTAATACAACCTTTAATTTAAAACATTACATTACACCTTAAAATCATGAATATTCTCCAAAATCTGACAGATAATATAATCTCAGAAGCACTTCTTCAATTAATCACCATACAAAAGGGGAGGAAATGGAAAAAGAGAAATGCAATACTGTACATGTTAATAGACAAACTACATTAATCTGTCATACTCAAGAAATCTGAGGAAATAATTACTAGTCTTTGATCAACAGAAAATTATAAATAATTCTTCAATATTTTATTATCAGTAACTAATAATTGTGCTTTGTCCGAAAAAATCTGATAACCTAAAAATTAATTTATTTTTATCACCTCTGGTAAATTTTTATATACACCATCCCTGGTTTCTTCTGGAAGAATGTGAAAGTTTAAAATATTCTCTAAAGTATCTCGTGGAAGTTTCTTTACGCCATTTACAAACTGTTCTTCTTCTAAAACACCTATAATAATAACAGTTTAAATATGTTAAAAAACTTAAAGGAGGCAAGTCTCTAACTCAATATCATCCACAGTCTTTGATGATGTTATCTTACCAAGAAAAGTTGAGCTTCTGATATCCAATATTTAAGATAAAATGATAATTTTAAAATTGGCAAAAGAATCTTTCTAGCACCATTTGTAATGAAGTGACTTGATGAACGAGGCTAAAAATATCTCACAAGAGAATACTACCAGTGCAGAATGGAATGACCAGATGCCGAAGATTGCTATTCAATTTGGACTATTTATGTATTTCACCGAACATAACAATTGAATACAGTAAAAACAGAAACAATTGAATGTAAATCAGTTTATTTATATACATTCATATTACATTATTATATGTGTTGCGACCCATTTGTGTCCATTTCTAGTTGCTAAGGAATAGAGATTTAGCTCCTTTAAAATTGCATTATGCAGGATCTATATCTGTCTATTGCAGATCTTTTTCCTGGTTTAAAATGTTATATAAATCATTACTTAAGACATTTATTCACATGCCATGGCCATAATCAACTCTCAGATGGCTAGATATTGAATGATTTAGACCATACATGCAGTAAAATCTGTTACTGTTAAAATGTACCTTGCTCAATAAAAGGACTGACAAACAAGACAAATGTCCACATTTTGCAGGAGATGGATAGAGAACAAGTTAAAAAAAAAGAAAGTGATTTTTCGTACAATCAGGGGCCATAATCCTGTAAGTCATGGTCTGAAATATGTGAATATGGAAAGGAACTGAGATCTTTTGGATATAATCAAGTTTCATCAAAATCAGACAAAAATTGTGACCTCTAGATGGTCAACAACCTTCATATTACATACTGTAACACTGTTTTAAGTTTCATCAAAATCGGATCAAAACTGTGATCTCTAGAGGACCCACAACCTTGATATTACATACTTTAACACTATTTGTGTACAGGGGGTGGCCATTTTGTCCAGGAGTTTCAGTCCGATTCTCATGAACTTCGAACTCAACCCTCATTATGGTTTAACGCTGATAGATTCTAACATTTTTTAAATCGGATAAAAATTGAGTCCTCTAAAGGAACCACAAGCTAAATGCACGATTTTTCGTACAATCGGGGGCCATAATCCATGAAGTTACAATCCGATACATGCCAATATTGAAAGGAACCGAGATATTTCAAGTTTTGTCAAAATCGGATAAAAATTGTGACATGTAGAGTGACTACAAACAATTTGTGGACGGATGGACAGGGGCGACGACAATATACATCCACGTGAAAATGTGGGCATATTAAAAAAGGATCATTGGTCTTACAGTTTAACAGTGCAGAAGTGTATCTATCAATTTTTATGGGGAGCAAATTTTCAAAAATTTTTCCAGGAATAAATATCCACACAAAAGGAAAAATAATACCGGGTTCGCATCACACTTTGTGATCCATTTCTGACGTTACTGCGAGTCAATGGAAAAATTGATTAGTAAAATTTTACTTGGGAACCTATAAGGTTACGAATCATTTTGGTCAGATATAGTACCGTTCATTTCAACATTTAGTGCCTCAAAATTTAATTGCGATAAGAAATCCTTTCACAGTTACTCTATCTTTTTTATTTTACATTTTACACATGAAGTTCATGTCTGTTTTCGGCCGCGCTTATCCAAACATAATAAATGCATGGAAATATTGTTCATGTGTCTGGAAAACGTGACTACTATGCCGCGTGTCTTCACTCTTCTCTCTGGTGCTTAGTCTGATTGTAATATTCATGATTCTCGATGTTAAATAACTTGTACAGTGATCAAAACAATGCTCAAAGTTTGACATATATTACGTAATTAGTAGGAAGCTGCTGATTTGCAAAACTGAAAGTTTGATATCGTGCGCTTCTGATGGTCTTGTAGCTATTCACGACAATTTCTCCACGATAAAACATAATTAAATACTATTGTGAATGTTCAGAACAGGATGAATGAATAGTGCTTTTTTTACATGCATTTTTAGTTAATTATGTGGCTATGTAACCAAGTTGGACAAAATTACAGCCATGTAATTCAGACTACATGAAATATGTCGTCTGCAGCTGGAATTTGTTTAGCACATGTAAAGGATCGTAAATGATTGGAGTTGAACATACCATCTTCAATACAATTCATGCCATGCGAGATCAGTAACTTGCAAGTTATACATAAAATATGAATACAAAAAAAAATAATATTTTCCAAAATGACAATAAACACCAAAATTTAATAACCATAGCTACTTTAATGTAAACAGGCTATCAAAGCTAATAAAAAGTAAACTGTTACATTTAATTAATATTGAGTATTTATTATAGGTTATAACTGCACCTAAAATGACCAGAACTGCTAATCAAAAGTTGATTTGATTAGCATAAATGTATTAAAACTGTTTCGCACTGCTAACCAATTGTCAACAGTTATTTTGTTCCCTGCTCTACTCAGAACCTGTTTCCCATTGATCGTCATGATTTTAAAAAAGTAATATTTACCTTTTACATCTGCTCCCATTTGTTTAAAAAATATGTCTGTTATTCTTTTTACATTTTCCTACAGAAACAATGAAATGAAGATCAAAATATTTCATGATGTCCACATTTTAACATTATATTGTAATAAACACAAAATATAGCATGGAACATAACTACTATTTCAATTAAAGCAATGTTTTGTTGAGGTTCTCTCAACGTAATAAAGCAAATGATAATTATGTGTTCTATATTATGTTTCTGTGTTTATTATATAGGTCAGTTATGTAAGAGCTTAATCTGCCTATTTTGACTTCAAATATTATATAAACTATTATGTATACATTTCTGAACATGACAAGCCCATAATCAACTCTCTAGTCCATCGGATGGCAGAGATTTAAATGGATTAGAATGCCTGCAAGATTTAAAAATTTAATGATGAAATGGATAATCAAGACTTAGTGTTGTTGTTGTTTGTCCAGTACTGTTGCTACGATAATAAACAATCTATCTTCCAGCACTCATATTTTGGCTCAGAATAAAGTAATCTAAATAAAATTTGCAATATATTCAGTTTTCATTATTTATTTTTGAACAATTATAGCAAGAACGGTCAGCTCTTTATCTAAATTTTACATAATGTATCTTGAAGTATGTCAATTGCTAAATGCTGCACAAATAAATCATATTGTAAATTGACCGTTATTATAATTACACATATGCATGTAAAAATCATTGTAAACTGACGATTATCATAATTACACATATGCATGTTAAATCATGATATCCACATTTTAACTTCATGTTGTAAACTGACAATTGTTATATATACATCATATTCAAATCATACGAGAGAATTACAAATATAAAGCCCATAAACCTACTACTTATTCTGTGTCTTAAATAACATAAAGCTGCATTTGACATCCCTTGCAAACTACAGTATTGTGAAAGTTGATTCTCTAGTACAGTAGGAATATCGTTCATACAAATACTCATACCTGAGTGTCATCTTGGTAAAGTCTTTTCGCAATTTTTGAAAACATTTCTTTATTTATTGGTCCACCATTATTCAACATTTTAAATATAGCTGTAATAAAGAAAAAATAAGCAATCTAAAAATGTCTGTGATACAGTATACGTGAGAATGACCGTATGAATAAAAATTACAGTTTTTAAGATAATTTTTCAAACCTAGGTTCATCACTGGTTGCCCTGTGTGCACATTGGCATGGATGTAACAAACCCACTGTCCAGGCAAAATTCCACTCATAGCACACTTGCATGACATATGCCTATCTTCATTAGGCACGTTGGACCTTGGTACAAAACAAAAGGATGTTATAGCCCATTTCATTTCTCTCTAGGCAAAGAACCATTAAAACAAGACAGAAGAATTTTATTTGTCCACATACTGAATAGTACGTGCAGAGGACTGCACTACACACAAGCAGAATGGATAAGACAACCAGTTTATGAATAATTTAGGAAGAGTGTCTAAGAACAATATTGGGACATCAGTACATCCAGGTGCCGCAAAGATACAACTGATGGTGGCTACTTCAAGACAGTGGCTATAGCCTTGTGTACCCAGGATGTCAAGTGAAATAATGTCACTGGTCATATTTTTTTAAATTTGCTACTGTATGTTTCAGAATTTCATCTTGATGTGGACTACCTTGCATTATATATTACTACTTAGCGTTACCTAGAACACTGTATCACAGGTACTTTCTTTAGGTATATTACACATTAGACATTCATTCCCAATCCCACCCAACCACATCGCACAATCAATACAGAACAAAATGTGAAACTAGCAAATAAAATCACCTCTTGCTTTTGTACCAACATCTTGAGATTCACACCATTTCAGTCCTCGAAGGAATGACTCAAATGTCATGCTCCCATCGCGAGATTTAAATGTTTTCAAGATCTAAAATGTTCATATATAACAATTAAATGACAATTACCCAGACCTAAAATGTACATAAATATATATCATTAAATGAAAAGGTGTCCTGTAGGCTATCATAATGTTTAATTTTTCAGTGCACGTGTATATATTTTTTATCATACAGAGTTAGGGAGAAGGCGTGAATTAAATACTGTCAACAAGCGGTTGCCATGCAAGATACGCCCACAATTTGTAAGGGATGGACAGAGTATTACATACTTTTAACTTTTACACTATTTGCGTACAAGGAACAGCCATTTTGTCGGGCAGTCTTGTTCCGATTTTTACGAAATTCAAACTCAATCATCATTATGGTGTAATGGTCATATGTTTTTTTAAATCAGATAAAAAGTGTGACCTCTAGAGGGACCACAATCGAAAGCCATAATTCAGGAAGTTACGATCCGATATGTGTGAGTAGCAAAAGTATCTTTTATAACCATACATTTCAAGTTTCATTTAAATCGGATAAAAATTGTGACCTCTAAAGTGTCCACAAGCTAAAAATATGATTTTTCGTACAATCAGGGGCCATAATCCATGAAGTTTCGATCCGATACATACCAATATCAAAAGGAACCAAGATCTTTTGGAGATACACCTTTATTTCAAGTTTTATCAAAATCGGATAAGAATTGTGATCTGTAGAGTGTCCACAAACAAATTGTGGATGAATACCTGGACAGGGGCGACGACATAATACGTCCACATGAAAATGTGAGCGTATAAAAATAATTCTAATGGCTGTAAGTTGAGATTTGTGTAAGTAGACAGTGTAGTAATGTTACCCCTGAAAAAAAAAATATTTTCCTGATTTTTTCACACAGACATGCTCTTACATGAACCATCATTTTCATTTTATTTACTGCATAAAACATATTTGATTATTTCATGCATTGTAATCAATTACATTTGCGAAGAAACGGTCCCAAGTCTGCATTTAAATCATATATGTCTCACTTTCATTATTAAGCACATCAGCATGGTATGGTACCTACATTTCTAGTAAAAGCATCTTCATTTAATTTTGGATCCTTTAATGTTTCAGCTGTTAGAATGCCATGTTGATTACAACCAAGCTGTTGGAATCTCAACCATAATCTTTCTACTTCAGCTATAGTCACTATAAAAACATTACAATGTACGATCATATTTCGATTTGAACATTTTTCATGCATACAATAACATATGAAAACAAACACCAGAACATTAATACATTCCTTTTCAAATAAAACATGTGACTATGTGTGGATGTAAACTTCCCCCAAACAAAGGAATGATATATCGACAATGGTAGCTGTCCTTAAAACTAAATAGCATACCTTAAGCAACAGTGGCAGCTATGCAAATCAAAATTATGGCATATAAAGTCAGTAAAATGACATTTTTGGCAAAGTGGTGAGTGTTGTGCACAGGCAGGGTATGCTCACTCTTTCTAGAACACCAGATATCACTATTACACAAACTCTGTTAGAGGGTTTACAAATTTACATTGTACCAGTAGTGTACAAACAACCCTTTTTGAATGGATATTATTCATGTATGTACAATTAAGTCATTATCTACTTCAGTGAAGCAAACCATGAATAAAGCATTCCTCTTTAATGTAGCAACGGGTGCCGTGCACATGCCAGAGGGCTCTAGAACACCTGATACCACTTTCCATTGGAAAGTTGCTCATAAACCTTTGAATAATAGCGCCTAACAGGCAGCTGTGTTTAATTATGTTCTCCTGATTTTGATTGTTTCTGTGTGTTTGAAGTATATGTTTGTGATATGCGCTTAGAAACACTTCACGTGTAATGAAGCGCTATATAAATCGAACAATAATAATAATAATAATAAATTCAGACAAGGGAAAAAATGTTTCAATTGAACATTAATCATATTACAAGGACTTTGAAAACTGAGTCTATGCACATTATACAGAAAGAGATGGGAAGAAAGACTGGAAAAAAGCCACCTTTCACTGCCAATGTCTCGTAAGAATTCAGTCTGTCATGTGCAATTCCATGGGTTATATTTTATCAAGCACAAATAAATTCCATGCCTAAAAGGATGTAATATTAAACTGCAAAGAGTTTACAATAGATCCCCCATTCATTTCTCAACCAATATCGGGATCGAACGTAGAACTTCCCAGTTAGTGAGCAAGCTTGAAGCAAGTCAGAAAAAGGTGACAGATCTATACAATTCTTAAAATAAACTTTTTAATCTTTGTGTGTGCAGATTAACTAATCTTTGTAATGTAAATGAAAATGAAATGAAATGATTTGCTCCTACTGGGTCAACGAAGATGGGCATATGCCATACATTATGCTACTCTTATACTGAAAGCCAACTGCCAAGGGTTCTTTTACATGCGCGCTAACAAATACATGAAACCTAAGATTTTCATCCCAATCAAACGACTATACATTGTCCCTTATCAGGCCCACTGCCCTGCATTACAATTTACCAATGTAAAACAAAATATCAAAAATAGATCAGTAGTTAATCAATCATTAGTGATTATCATGATGATAATAATTAACAATGAACAATCATCAAATTCTGAAATAAACAAACTGATATAATGATAATCTGATATAATGATGTGACAGGATGCAAAAGGTTACTACAATCATGGAAGATCTTGAAGTGAATTGTCACAAGGGAAAAAACTTTGATATGCTTTCCCAATAAGAAAATAGAACGAAGAATCTTTTACATTGTAGGGCATTTAACCCCATTATAAAACAATATATATGCCTCACAAACCATTTATTTGATTTCAATAAAAATTTATTTCTCTCTTGAAAAAATTTGTGTAGAATAGATTTGTGATTTTAGTACCAGTTCTACTTAAGAGACATACACATCAATATCTACAACGATATCAAGGTTATCGCGCTACTGAGACTTGCACATCAACATCTACGACAAGACGACAATGACATCAAGGTTATCATTATCAGTCTGTTATTCAAAACCTGGTGTATACAATGATAAAGTGATGACATAGTGGTGATGATGGTAATAATAACCAATACCGTGTTGAACATGATAGACAGTAGGGAGCCATAATGGCTAAGTAGCTAGCCTGGAGGTTGCGTGTTCGATCCCTGCATTGGCCGAGAAAGTTCAATGGGATTTTTCTATGTGGTTTCCCCTTGTCAGTGGTGCAGGAAGGAGGGTCTGACAAGGAGAGCAGTCTTGTCGATCGGATGGGATGAAAAGCCAAGGTCCTGGGTATACATTGGCGTGCACATAAAAGATCCCTTGGCAGTTGGAATTCGATATAAGAGTAGACTATAGAGCCACTGCCTGGGCAAAATTTCCCTCATAGCACACTGTATGCCCGTCTTCATTAACCCAGTCAGAGCAGAACAGTAGGACGTTAATCCCCATTTCATTTTATTTTTGATAGACAGTGGTGTTATGGTCTGTCTTGAGTCAAGTGGTGTGGTTTCAATTCCAAGCTTGTTAGTGAGGGTTTTCTCGGAGGACTCTGGATTCCTCCCACTGCTAAAGCCCTGTATCAGCAAGCCAATAATTGAAAAGGAATTGGAATCATATGTTAGTCCCGAAATGATCTAGTTCGTGCTACCAGGACATTAAACCCTGTTTTTCTCTCTTTATCTTTATAATAGAACTGTACTGACCTTGGCCAATGATCAGATTCATTCTGGATCATATATTGTTCAAGTATATAGCATGATAACCACAAATCTGATCCTGATTATCAATATTATTAACCATGTGATACTGTTGACTATTGGACATTATTGATTAATAGAATAAATTGATAAGATACAATTACAAATTATTTGATTGCTAGATCAATAAAATGGTCTGATCACATGTTGTAGGTCTAAATGTACATCAGAACCTAGATTGAGGACTACCAGTACCACTTATTAAAGTCTTGATTTGCCAAAAGACTAAGTTGCATGTGTCATATCAAAATTTAACACAAATTACAGCCGGAAGGTGTTCTTTAGATATAGTGATCTAGACAGTTAGGCCTGGAGATAATGATATTAATTCTGCCTGACAAAATATCGGGCAATAATGAACAAGTACCTGACATTTTAAACGTTATGTGCCAGACATGTATTAAAATATCATTAAAAACATAAAAAAAAGACAAATCTGTGCCGCACAAAATGACACACACAAGAGGAGGGGTTTCACTGACAATGTCTGTGACAGGTGCCTTATTTACAGGCTTGTAGACAGTTAAATAAAACCTAGTCAATATTCCGCCTTGATCTCAATTCTCAATGTCCATGGATTGATGATCTTAACAGTCTGGAGGCTCAGTGCGGAGGGGGGGGGGGGGGGGGGGGGGCATCAAATGGGCACAAAACCAGACCCAACTTTTCTAGAGTAAAATTTATTAGAACAGGTTTCGCTTTAGTTTTTATATTTTACGTTTACATTTTATTGCTTTAAGTCTTCCTAGTGTAAAATAGGAAAACTTGACCTTTTGACCTCCCTGGTCACAAAGACTAAAGGTGAATTTAGCATGTTTACATTTTTATTGAAAGCGTGATTACTTTCGATCATCTTCAGCATGTTATCATGATATAAGAATGGCTGCGCATCCACTTTTAGTGCAAATGACCTCATTTGACCTTTGACCATGAATATCTCGAAAACGAACCAACAGCGGACTGATTACCACCCGGCATTGTATTCTACGCAAAATTTTACTCTAGAAAAGTTGGGTCTGGTTTTGTGCCCATTTGATGGACCCCACTCCCCAGCACTGAGCCTCCAGTCTATAATTAATAGAAATTAATGGGAACTTCAGATGTACATAACTTACTTTACGACAGATCAATTTCAATAATTTTTGGGACCAATAGGCTTTTTAATATTTATGAACTGAAAGTTTATATTTGTCTTTGAGTACGTTATATTTTTTCGAAGATGCTCGATTCAATACCTATCGCTATCACCTGTACATCTTTCCCCAGAATTTCCATATTTTTATTTTTTTTAACTGACAATTGGTCAAAGGTCAATAATTAATCGTGAAACTATGTTATTTAAAATGAATTCATGGCTTTATAGACTCTAAATATTGTACTCTAATAAATACCTTGAGATATGAATGAAAAGAAAAATTCTGATTATAACTGTACTTATTTACCAAATTCCTCACCTTTTCCAAACTCGGGAATTTTTTTAGGATAGCGATTTTTGACTTTTGCAAATAAATCAGGGCTCTTTCAGTTCACCAGCCAAATATAGTAAACAATGACTGCTTTAAGAAACTATAAAATGTACATCAAGGTAAAATATCCCCACAAGATCACAATAATTTGAATTTCTCTTCTTCGGGAACACCTGCAAAAATGTCCTTATTTCTTCGGGAAGAAAATCTTATTTAAAATCCAAAATTAGTGGCTGCATTGTTCAAAAGCTTTTAGTTGCAAAATATTTAAGATTTGATATTTATTATTATTAACCTGTCACGTGATTCAATTGGCTATTTATTTATCTGGAACCCGAAGAAAATCAAATTGGTGTTGGCTTATGTAAATCTCCACCTGAGTAAAAGCCTGACTTGGGTCTCCTTTCCTTTCAATGGTGCTCCAGGTATAAATACTTACATTCAGTGGATATTGCATGACTGGTTATCCAATTAGCTTTGAAAGGGTCAGTTTGTCGACAAACTGCATTTTCTCGGTTTGGTTCTACAACAAAACTACTTGTATAGGCTCCCATAGTTTCAATAGTCAGTCAACTATAAACTCTTACAAAACCATAATTGATATTCTACTTTTTCTGGTCATATGCTGACTACTGTAATGATAAAATGAAAATGTGAATGAAGAGACATTTTGAGATTTCTGCAGTGAGAGCTGGATATCTAAACCTCTATTCATTGGAACTTTAAAATAAATGAAAATCAGTCAAAAAACATAGTAATATAATAGTAATATGAGTGTACATAATGTTATTTACATTGAAAATTTAAAAGTTTTATTTTAATTTCTAATCAATTAGGTTCGCTAAAATATGTGAACAGACCAATTGAATGACAGTCGTTTGCATCTGCTTAGTCCCTTCTGCACATTTTTTTTTTATTATCATTTAGTCGTTTGTGAATCAGTCATTTTTCATTACTTCTGCATTGTCTTGTGGAATATGCTTATGTTTGTTCATTACATACACCGCACGAAACCAAATAGTACACAAGGTTGTGTACTAATTTTCATATGTTCATTGTGTCTTATATATTATATAATCTCATATTTGTACAGTATTTTTAATTTCAAATATTACGGATAGTAAATAAAGGTTTAGCAATTTTTACTCATTATTGTTGAAGTTGAATAATGTAGCCTGCATCACAGGAGTCTGGCCTTCTATCCGTATATATATACGGATAGAAGGTCAGATCAGACTCCTGTGACTGCATTGACAAACATGACAAGGGATCAAAAGTAGCCTAACCTCATAGAGTTATATTTCTATGTATAACTCTCTTTATCATATCATAGAAAATAGACGCCAATGGTTGATGAAAATAATTTTGAAATTTTGTGTCTCTCGGCCTGCTCAATTAGCTATATTTTCTTTTGCCTATCTCACTCTACTTCTCAAAAGTGCAGTTAGTTCCTACAGTATTCATTGGGCCAGTTAATTCCGAAACATCATGCGAAATCGCCTACAACGAAGACAAGTTTCCATTTACAATGTACAATGTTTGTCAACTAAGCCAATAAGATTTTAAAAATGTTAGCTAGCATTACGAACGAAAACTTAGTTAGCAAACGATATAATTCACCTGTTATTAATAACCAGTGGCTGCCAGGCAGGATACACCCACATTTTGCAAGAGATGGATAGAGAACAAGCTAAAAACAAACACGATTTTTTGTACAATCAGGGGCAATAATCCAGAAAGTTATGGCCTGAAATGTGCAAATATCAAAAGTGACTGAGATCTTTGGGATAAGATATTTTTTTAAGTTCATCAAATTCGGATAAAAATTGTGACCGCTAGAGGGTCCACAACCTTGATTTATTAGATGTTTATACTATTTGAGTACGAGGGGCGTCCATTTTGTCTGGCAGTTTTGGCCCGATTTTCATCAAAATTCGAACTCAACAACCCTAACGGTGTAACGATGATATATTCGAACACTTTTTTTAAATCGGATAATAATTGTGACCTCTAGAGGGACCACAAGCTTTTTAAAACGCGATTTTTCGTGATGTGGGCGTATAAAAATAACTTTTTAGGTTGAGTTCTCCATTCAAGTTTTTAATATTAGGGTAAAATGGACGTGGAGAGAGAAAAATAGGGTTTAACGTCCACTTGACAAAAACTAGGTCATTTCGGGACTAACACTTGGTTCAATTTTATTTCAACAATTCGGTTGTGCATAGGGGTCAAGATCTTTAGCAGTGGGAGGAAACCAGAGGACCTGGAGGAAACCCACGAGGTTGGAAAGGCAACCCTAGACTCCTTGTCACATACAACGGGGAATCAAAAACCATGCAAATACTCAATGACCATTCGCCCATCCAACTCCCGCAAAATGGCGTGGTGGCTCGAATCTGATCAAAAGTTAATAGCGCTAGTCTTGAAGTCTAAAAGAAATCATGCAGGTTGAGTGTCCGTCACTCAGTGTGACTGTGAGTTGGCTATCCCAAACTTAGGCTGCCTGTCTACAGTTAGCTTCGCCGGAGAACACAGCGATGCATCTACTTCGTTCTCGAGGTATGAAGTAGATGAATACCTGACAACTCATCCCAAAGACAACTCATCCCAATACAAGACAACTCATCCTAAGTTAGAAGACAACTCATCAAAGTTAGAAGACAACTCATCCCAACTTAAAAAAAACATCAATTTGATTAAAACAACAATATCAATTGGATTAAAACAACAATATCAATTGGATTAAAATAACAATATCAATTGGATTAAAATAACACATTTTCATAACAAAATCAGTGGTCTTCGAAGAAAGCAATTGTATTAAAACAAAATAAATATTAGCACTTATATTTTCCCAACAGTTTTTTTTTCTATCCGCACTGATGATGCCCAACATCAGTCAGCTGGACCTCCTGTTTTAACCTGTTCTTTTATTATGAGAAAGGGAGAAGATGATCGGCCATCTCTTCTCACCACAGCAATTTTTTATTATAAGTGTGACTTTTTGATAGCCTATACAAGCAACAAGGGCTCTTTTATTTTGTGTTTTTACCAATTTCATTTACGGTGACATTTGATATACATGGATGTTTTTATTTTTTGTTTTTACTAATTTCAACCCATTAAGTGATGCATCGCTGTGTGCAGTATGTGAGTTGGCACTGGCAGTAGGCCTACTCAGCCTACATCTCGGCTCCCATTTTTTAGTTATTCAATTTCATACTTGTTTTCATTCTACTTCTCAAAGTAGATCTAACCGTCCACCGGCTACTGCAATTCCGGTCAATTAAGAGATGTCAGTTCAGGTTTTTACAATCTAAAATACAGCTCTACCTACAAAATCACGCTGTCAAAATCGTATTTTGTTTTGGAATGCCTCGATGAGAGGGAATTTTTAGTTGACGTCATAGATCGTTTAACTAATAAAATTCGATGTTATATTTTTTAGAAACCTAAGTAGAACTGTTTCCAAATTTTTGATTGGCTGATTATTGACGTTCCTTGTAGTCGTGAATAATCAGCCTCTAGTTAACACTATTTATAAAGCTTTTGGATAACCGAGAATTCTCTACATTTATTAGGCCTATTTGTGAAAAGGAAGCCAGCAAATCAACGATAAAGTCCTTCAAGACTGTGAGGATTTCGCCATATTTATTATAGGTAAATATGTAGAGCATTAAACTGTTATATATACTTAAGTGATGGATTAGAAGCAGAGACAACAATGTAGTAAGGTTGTGGGAAAATCAATTTTCGCCGATGCACTACTGTCACTAGAAATGATGAAACCAGAAACATTTTCAGGAAAGTTCATTCAGATTAATGGGTATCATTGTTAGGTCCACCAGATTTGTCATGTGTCGTTATAGGTTTCGGACATGTCATTCTTCCAAATTCGTTAATATATGCTTTTTATTATTTTTTTCTACCCATTTTTTTCTTCCAAATTATAAAGTAATATATAACTTTCGAAGGAAAAACAATGTCAAACGTCCCTTTTGGGCTAGTTCATCTCGATTATATTATACTCTGTAGGCAAGTGGACGATTTACCAACAGATTTTGATGAAATTTACTCTAGTTAAGAAACAAAAAAGTACATGTTGATGAACTGAAGAAAACACGAAAAGAAGCAAAGGTCTGACAGTAAATTTGTTTTCATGTTTGATGCTCTTGTCTTAGTTAGAATAGAAAATGGTCTCAGACTCAGGTTATGGAAACTAACTAGGTCTAGGATATATACATGTAGGTTAGAACTTAAGAGTTAGAATATACATGAATACGTGTAGGTTCTCATGTTGATATGTCAGTCACACGGTTATTTAACAGTTTTATTTTCATAGCCTACATCAGTACATGTGTATGTTTGAGTTTTAGAAATTTTAGATAATTTTATTATTCCACGACTAAGTGCCCATGACGTGTACTTTTCAAAATAAAAAAAAATCACACAAAATGAATAACTAATGTAAATAAAAGTAAAACATAAATTTCAACATCCTGAATACTGGAAGGTTACATTTTCTGTGACTTCAAAGAAACACATGTTAATATTAATATCACATTGATACTGGTCCAATTATTTTGTCCTTTCACTTTCAGTAGTGTCTAGATATCAAAAAGTAAACATTAGAGTGTAAAGTGTAAGCATTGATCAGTATTTAGGAATCACCTGGATATTATTGTATACTCTTCAAAAAAAGTAGGGGGTATTCAGAAACAATACAAAACTGCGGAAATGCACTGCTGTTTTTATTAGAGGTAATCAGTGTATGTTAATAACAGGCCAATTGCCTACACATAAACAGTTCATATGGGCGGCTTATCTGACGGCGGCCCCCCATTTCACTCGCAAAGAGATACATCGTCAAAAGTGAAAATGGACGTTTTTGATTTTTGTCTTAATAATGAGTAATTGCTCCACCAATCCTCAGACATTCAACAATTCGTCGTGGCATGCTCCTAATCAACCGTCCAATCACGATTTGGGGCAATCTGACCCACTCCTCTTGCAGTGCCACGGTCAATTCTTGAAGTGTTGTCCGTTGACATTGACGAGCACGTCTCCCAATCAAATTAAACGTGTCACACTTAAGCAAAGATACGCTAAACAGTAAATCTTATGCAAGAACCGATAGGAAAGCAAACATGGATAGATAAGTGTCAAATTTGACAATGAACCCCTCCCACGTGTATGACGCTATTACGTGTCGCATGTGCAGCTCAGTGGTTCTGTTGGGGCGATAAGTTTTTCATCTGTGAACATACTCTCAAAGCATGTCAAATGCCCATGACTATCATATCGCAACCTGCATAGGTACATGTATTTGCATTTCAATATCCCCTACTTTTTTTTTAAGAGTATAATTGCAGAGACCACACTACGCACAAAACATCTATGTATTTAGTAAAATTTGAAGTTTTTTTAATATCCTGTATTTATTAGAAGATCAACATTGTCTGAGCCATAAAGTAATATTAGCAGTCAGTTCTAAACCTTATATTAATGAGCTTTTTAAAATTCCCTTTTACCGACTGTATTTAAGAATTACAATATAAGCCATTAAAAAAAGTATGGCTGGCTACATTTTATTTACCCAGATTTCCTGAATATAATTAATAATTTTGCCTAAAAACTTCAGTAACGACCATACATGTAGGCACAGTTGATCACATGAGAAACTAGCACATCTGTTTGTATTCCTGAGTTATCATTATAATCAACCTAATTATTGAGTACATCTGCTACCTTATTTGTTTTATGTTTTTGCTTTTGATTCAATTTACTTCAGACAAGTAGGCCTGGGGCCTTATTCATAAAAGCCTTACCTAAACTTGTCATTGGCCAAGAGTTCAAATTTGTACTTAGATTTTAACTCTCAACCAATATGATATCCTTAAAATATTTTAGTTTGTGTTTTTTCGTGAATTTCGTTTCTGAGCACTAATTATCCAAGACAAATGAAAATAGATAGATTTTTCTTCATGTTTTATTGAAATCTGGTTTATTGATGTATTTTTGAACTATTTAAATATAGAACTTATAAAATATGTTTTTATGGTTTGTTTTGTAGATAATAATGATGCTAAGTGAAGATATCAATGGAAAGATTTGTCAGTTAGAAAGGGCTATAAAGCAGCTAGATGCTGTTAAGCGCCATTTACTTCATAATGCTACTGAGGTAAAATTTTAAAAATTAGATTTTGATAAGGGTGGTTTTTAGCATCATTTTAATTCCCTTTGACACAGTCAGGTCTATGATGTCTTCAAAATATTGACTGACAAATATATAAACCAAACCTGCCTGAGAAATTAACAGAAAAAAGTTGACCCCAAATTACCATATGATGTGAAGTGATGCTTCAGTTCCATTGATGCTTGAGGTCAACTGCTGAACCAATCCAAATACATGTAGTGTAGCATATTGATAGGACACCTAAATGTTTAGATGTGCATTGACTGAACTAATTAACTGCAAGATATTTGAAATATTAGTGGATCCTAATCCCTAGATGTGAAGTGATGCTTCAGTTCCATTGATGCTTGAGGTCAACTGCTGAACCCATCCAAATACATGTAGTGTAGCATATTGATAGGGCACCTAAATGTTTAGATGTGCATTGGCTGAACTAATTAACTGCAAGATATTTGAAATATTAGTGGATCCTAATCCCTAGATGTATATTAAAAATTTGTACTTGTAAGTACTAATGCATTAATTGAACTTAAACATTTTTGAATTTAATCAATGAAATGCTAATCATTAGTGGCATCTTTTCAAAGACTTTTTACAGAAAGTCGACCATTATAGAATTGCAAACTTGTTACATGTCACCCAAAGTGAAGGTTTGGGTAATAATCATTTGATTTTATAATTCTGCAGATCAAAGGTCAAGTTCAGACTACAATGAGTAGACATTTGGAAGCTTTAAGGAATAGGGAAGTGTGGCTTCTAAATCAAGTAGATTTGGTTTTCAGTGCTAAAGAATCAGTATTACAGGCCCAGCAAGGCAGATTGAATAAGATGCTTGGTGTGTTACAAAGTGCAATTGGTTTAACATCCGACTCTGACATGGACACTATTCTAAATGATACCCTTCAAAAGTAAGTTAGTCTTCTTTATATGTAATCAAACCTGGACTTAAGGCACCTGTCACAGACTTTGTTAGACACAAATTATCAAACAACCGTATATTTACAAGTCTGTGTGATAATTTTTAATGGACAAATTCTGTGACAAGTGCTTTATGTTCTGGCTTGTATGTAATTGATAACTCAGCCCCCCCCCCCCCCCATTTTCTTTTTATTATAGATGCCTGGCAACTTACTTTTACTGCCTCAGCTACAACCAAAAAAATAATCTGTTTACATTCTATATTCGGTTCAACATGTATATTTACAATAGTTACTTTTATTTTCAGAATGGATATCGATATCAATGACCTTAACCCTGAGGAGACTGCGTTTTTCTCCTTTCGAGCTGATCCAGCTGATCTACGCAAGTCAATCTTGAATTATGGTCATGTTGATGCCAATGGTATGCCTTTAATGGGTGCCTTCTTTGAGCCAGAGTCTCAAACCCTACCCAGACATTTTGAAGATTACGAAGGACCAGATCATCATATCTTTCACAAGACGGTGGAAGACAACATGAAATCATCAGAACGAGGGGTAAGAATAGAAAACTATTGCCATCATTCTTAATCTTAAATACCTGTATCATAAGTGTAACATGAGATCAGCATTCAACAAACCCAAAGCTTGATCAAAACACATGTGTTGTGAAAGATTATATATTAATATCTGACGTGAACACACCCAGAAACATAGTACAAAATTTACCCTGTGATCCGGTTTGTCGCACAACCTAACAGTTGGGGGGGTGGCCGAATGGTCAGTACGTGTGATCTGTATCATTGAGTCAACTGGCGTGGTTTCGATTCCCCGGTTTTACTTTACAAGGAGTAGGGTCGCTTGTTCAACCTCGTTTTCTCCGGGTCATCCTGTTTCCTCCCACTGCTAAAGACCCCTACACCCAAGCGAATTATTGAAATAAAATTGAACCATGTGTTAGTCCCGAAATGACCTAGTTTGTGTCGAGAGGACATTAAACCCCACTTCTCTCTTTCTCTCTATTTGATTATGTCACAATCCTCTGCTTAGTCGATAACCTTTTCAACCCAGTTCTTAAAATCTATCCTGTAAAAAGCAGATGATAGGTGTTTATTTGTGTCCTGAATAGCCAAAATTTCAATGCATACATTGTAGAAAGAGTTTGAGTACAGTGTGGTATTAGATTTGTTACCCTCAAAAAACTATAATTTTGGACTAATTACTCGTTGAAAAAAATACAAGGAAGTATTAATATAAAAATATATATCTACTGTGTAGGGTTGAAAGAACTGTAATAACACTACATGTAGTTCCTTTTATTGTACGCATGTGGCTGTTGTTTAGGTCACTTCCTTATTATTATACATACTACACAAACCTATGTATTCCATTGCTTATGGCTATGTCAAACACACCATGAGTTCACATTTACAAGGTTAAGTACTATCTTACAGGGAAGAGGTTTATAAACGTACTTTATGAAAGTTTTCATTTAAAATTATTTCTTAAGTTTACTTCTGTCAACCTCTATGTTGATTCAAGTAGAAGTGTGCTATGACTATGTCCATGTGACGGAGTTGAATTATTGTTTTGTTTTATATCTTTGCAGATTTATGTGAATATCCCCAAGCTGTCAACAAAATCTGAAGATTGGCTCCTTAGACCAACAACAGTAACCACAAATACTGAAACTACGCCAAGATTTTCCTTCCCTGCTTTCAGCAGTAATTCTTTTGATTGGACCCAGAAAAAGTCACCCATGACTTCGGCGATGGAATCCCCTCCTCTACGTACCATATCTAGTGATGCCAGTATTAAGGATTGGTTGTGCCAGATTAAACATTACACAGATGCCGACGAAGATGATTTTGAAATTGTGGACAATCCTGGGTTCACATCTGGTAAGTTACATTCTCTCATCATTTGTGAGATATAAGGTATTGTTCAACATGTTATCTAGTCAATCTCAAGTACCGGTGTGAATTGTAATGAGTTCTTTACATTCTTTAATCATTAAAATAACACCATGCAGTGATATTTATACTTATATGAAAGGTGAAGTGGGGTCGGCAACACTCTTGTAAAAGAGTAACAGAGGTTGGACAAGCCTGTAAATCTGTGTTCATGTTGCTGATAGAAGTCGAAAAGAGTAGACAAGAATAGAACATGGAATAATCCCTGCTCAATAGAAATACAAATAGACTTTATGTAGAATAGAGTGGTATTTTAATTAGAGAGAGAGAAATGGGGTTTAACATCCACTCGACACAAACTAGGTCATTTCGGGACTAACATATGGTTTAATTTTATTTACATAATTCGCTTGCGCGTAGGGGTCTTTAGCAGTGGGAGGAAACCGGTGAAAACCCATGAGGTGGGACAGGCGATCCTACTCCTTGCCACGTACAACAGGGGATTCGAAACCACGCCAGTCGACTCAATGACAGACTTTATGATACAGCGCGCGCACGCTAACCATTCAGCCATCCAACCCCCCGGGTATTTTAATTAGAACTATTCAGGTCTCATGACCACTTTTCAGTTGATCCTCTGTTGAGTGGGGATTATTCCATGATCAGTTCTACTGTTTAAAAGAAATCATTTCATGTCACTGTGTATGGTAAAATATTTTTTTAGATCTGGTTGTGAATTTTTATTTTCTGATCGTCTTAATATGATACCTAAAAAAACGAAGAAGTGTTTGAGTTTAGATTTGTTATTCAATCTCATTAGTATACAAAGAGAATGGAAAACTGAGTGTCATGTTAAAAATGAATTTAAAACAGACGATATTGATTGATACAAGGCTGGTCATTATAATCTGTGTAATACTTTATTGGGTGATAAAAAATTAAATCTGATTATGTTTTAAGTATTATATTTGTTTGTATTTCTAGGTGCAAGTACGTGCAGCACTGAGACAACAGGTAAACCTGTTGTTGGTAATTTGGACCTAGTGAATATTGCGAACATGAAGTTTCCTAAAGCTGTCCAGAACTGGTTGAGAAGTAATAGATCAACACCAGAAGAAAAACCCCAATCTGATGTGCTTCAATATTTTCAACATATTCCCTCTGATCCTAATCATTGGCTACTCAATGGAACAGTGAGGGAAAAGGTAGGATTTGGGTTGATTATTTATTTCTCAACATTATAACCTATAGTAGATTCTACACATCACATCTGACCTGTAGCAGGAAACATACTCTCAGTACCTAATACAATAACTGTTTGGCTTGGTGAGTAAAGTGCTGGCTCACCAAGCATGAGCACCCAGGATTGATCCTGATCAGAACCTGATTCCCCCTTCTCTGTGGTGCTGAACAGAGGGTCTGGCTTGATGAGTAAGGTGCTGGCTCACCAAGCATGAGCACCAAGGATTGATTCTGATCACAACCTGATTTCCCCCTTCTCTGTGGTGCTGGACAGAGGGTCTGGCTTGGTGAGTAAGGTGTTGGCTTACCAAGCATGAGCACCCAGGATTGATCATGATCACAATCTGATTTACCATTCTCTGTGGCCCTGGACAGAGGGTCTGGCAAGTCGTGGGATGAAAACTTAAGATCCCATGTACACATTATTATGCATGTAAAAGAACCCTTAGCAGTTGGAATTTGAAGAAGATTGGCCCGAAGCGCTGCTGTCATAGCAAAATTTTCTTCATAGCACACTGCATGGCGTATGCTGGGATGCCCGTCTTCATTAGCCCTGTAGGATGCTAGACATTACACGCCATTTCATATCTAACACAGAATCTGTTATTACTGAGAATGAGGGAATTCTTTACTTTTTTGTCCTCGCATTTAATTGTTTTCTCTCTTTATTTCAACAGTCATGTGAAGAATGTACCTCTACTGGACCAAGTGATATAGAGACCCTGGGTGATAGACTAGGCAGTTTAACTTGTACACCTGTCATGTCTAATTTCTACAAATCCTGCCCTACTGATAAAAGGTGCTGGCTCAAGACTGCAGAAGATATTAAAAGTGCTATGCCTGATGTCAAGACCGTCTGCCGAGCCAATGAACTCTGTGAAGGATATGAAGAATGTGTCTGCAAGCCTCACTGTGGATTTCAACACCTGGGAATTGAGGATAATGACCATTGGTTGATTAAAACGGAGAAAGGAGATCTGGAAGATTTGAAGGAAAAATGTCCAAACAACACCAATTGTAAGATGGCAGCCTGGCTGTCACCCACTAAACCAGTCGAATTTACAAATACTCAAATTTCATTTTCCTTCTTTCAAGAAGCATCAAAGGAGATAAAAGATTGGCTTAAGGAAAGCGAGAAAAAATGTGAAGGAGATCTCGATTTTAAGTCGATATTTAATTTCAAAGATGAAGAAGGCGATGGAGAAAAATGGTTGAAATCATCACAGGAAATGGAAGTTGATGGTGAGGAAGATTCAGTTACATGGAATGTTGTAAAAGATCAGCATAGCAAGTTGAATTCTGCCGATTGGTTGCTTAAAACAACTTTTGGTCAGTCCCATCAAAGAGATAATAAAGGCTATTGGCTTTTGAGTTCAAAATAATATACACATTTTGATCTATAAAAGCAACCTATGATTTCGTATTATGATTGATAGGCAATGAAATTAACACTATATATCTGGATTGATTTTAATTGTCATTGATCACTAAATATATTAATTTGTCAATCAATATGCATGAAAGTGTTATAGTGATTTGCTAAGCAATTTCGTTCATTTCACCAGATGTTTCAAATGTGGCTGTGAATATAAAAATTATACCTCGTAATCCTGATATGAAAATTAATTTATTTAATGTAAATGTTTAAATATAATTTAAGTTTTAAAATTAATGGCCTGAGATTGGTAATTTAAATCTGATGCTTTATTTATGGTTAAATAGTGCCATTATGTGTGGTTTAATGGTCAAGAGTGGGACATTAGGTAATATATTGAAACTGCACAAAGGTGTCACCCCGAGTATTGTATCAATATTTTATGCAATATCTTGGCTTGAGACTATTAAAAAAACTCAAAGTATCGATACATTATCCTGCACATGCATTTTTATGAAATGTTCATCTATTTTAAATATACACATATTTATTGTATATCTCATCTGCCAAATACTGCTAGATTATAGTTTGTGCTGTTGATATATATATATTATAAATTGACAAATTAAATGGCCTTTATTTATAAACATATCCATTTAACAATTCTGGCCGTAATACTAGGATTACTATTAAAAGATATTTTAATAAATATTGATAATAGAAAAAAATAAGATTAATATATGTAAGTATAGGAGAAAATGTGTGATTGAGAAAATGATAGCATCTGGGATAAATTGATTCAATATTGGCAATATTAAATTTTATATGTGATGTGAAAAAATATATCAGATTGTCAATGAAGGTATCTTCCAATCTCTATATATGAGTACACTATGTCGTATATCATAGCGTTTAAAGAGGAATTATCACTTTTGTGATTAATGGAGATTGATGAATAATCAATCTGATTAAAATACAGATCTATAATTTGTTTTGTTTTTTTTTATACTTTCGATGGCCTACACTACATGAAGATTTGACAAGTTATAGTGGGAGTTCACGTCAGGGGTCAACTGAGCAGCTTTTGACCCTATGACGTCAGACATTAATTAATCAATCAGCATTGACATTTCTAGTGGTTTATCCACAGTCCCATGCACCAAAAGGCCAAAAGCGCGCCGTAACAGACCGTTTCATTGGCTAATTCCTCACATAGCCAGAACACGTCAATAACAACTCTTCCAGATCCTAGTGTAGTAAGGACAAGTAAAACGAAATTTTGAACTATAAAACGAAACGAAATAGGATCTGTGTTTTAATCAGATTGATGAATAATATGATTGGACTATTGAATATAGTCAGGCATGTTCAAATGCTGCAATACAGAGGTTTCCAATATATATTTTTGAGTGATTTTTAAGCAGATTGGCCATTTTTCATTCTATGTGGATTCCTTGAACAGATCAGTGCTTTGATTTTTTCAAAACTAATGTGCTTATTCAATATTTGGGAAAGTAATGAAGCCTCTGGTGTAGAAACAGTAATACCAATAACAGAATTATGAATTGTACTGTGATATAATTGCCGATAACAAAAAGTTCAATTTAATGTAAAGATAAAAAACTGAATATCTTGCATTGCATTGTAAGTTCAGTTGTATTGAAAGTTGATTTTAAGTGCTTGGATGAGAGTGCACCCCCTTTTATGACAATTGAATGTATGTCTATTATTGAATAAGTAAAATTATTGTGAATAAATGTTTTGTTTAATAAAACTTCCCTTTCTTTTTTTTTTTCATAATGATTCTAAATTGCTGGGAGAGAGAGAGATGGCTCAGCGTTGGTAGCGAAAGTGTCTCACTTTTCTAACGGATCATCTTGAAACTTTGCGTACTTATTCCTTATACCCCAAGGATCATCCCTATTGTTTTCTGTGCATGCCCAACCCCAAGGAAAAGAGCAACATCCAATTTTTCTGTGTGTCGCCTACAGGCCGCAGTTAACAGATACTCTTGAAACTGTGCATACCTATTCCTTATACCATAAGGATGATCCCTATAGATTTTGGTGAATGCCCAACCCGCAGGGGCAGAGCCACACCTATTTGTTCTTTGTGTGTCTGTGTGTTGCCTACAGGCTGCAATTCTTAATGGATCATCTTGGAACTTGGCATATTTATTCTTTATAGCATAAGGACGGTAACTTTTGATTTTGGTACATGTCCCAACCCCCAGACGCAGAGCTACTCCCATTTTTTTTTTGTTTATCATATATAGGGCGCAATTCTGAATGGATCATCTTGGAACTTGGCATTTATGTATTCCTTATAGCCTGGGGGCGGAAATTAAATTGATGTTATGTCTGTTCATTTGCATGGTACATAAACCTTTGCAGTGTTCCTAAAAGATTGTTAAAATTTGACTGTTCGAATTTGAATGGAATTGAAAAAAGTGAGAAAGTATATTGCTAGTCTACATTTCAGTTGTCTATGAGCATTTCCGATTATGAATAAATTCTCAATTTTGCCAGAATATACTTCGTGTTGGCATGCTTTTAAATGAGAGAACCGGTATCAAATTTGCGGGAACATCGGAGAGAAGTCTGTTCTAAACTAAAATTTGATCCGTAAAACGTTCCCAAATCCGTTAGTCTATCCGTATAGTTGCAAGTTCATAAAAAATGGCGGATTAATCGGAGGTTATTCGCTTGAGAATTTTTAATAGACAAATAATCACGGTGTATGTGTTTATCTTTTGTTATTTGTTAAATTACTTACTTTAGTTTTAGTACCTTTAATTTAATGGTAAGCTATAAATACCAAAAATAGTGTGAAGCAGACATGTCAATCAACATTTTTTGATATCCCATCACAGAGTTGAATAATTTCATGGACGTATAGGCCTATATCAGTCGGCTATCTCCGTTTTTCAATTCGTGCAAAATTGGGACCACAAGTCTTAGTGCCAAACCAAGATTCTAACCCGTACCATGAACCGTCCATGCCCGCACGATACAATTCCGTCCATAAAAACTCCCACTTCAGTACTACTAGTTGAGTTTTTATGCACTCATATTGGGCCATACACTTATCATCTGATTTGGTTGAAGTGATTAATATTATTCAATGTTCAGAACCGGATTAGCGATACGAAGATGCCTAAGTAACAACCTATCGCACTCCAATAATTGTTATTCCGGAGTTCTTATTGATCACATTGCAGAGGCAAAATAAAGGGGACGCAATGGCGCTTATTGCTTCATGGCCATGGGAAGATAAGCTCATTATCTTCGTTTAGTTAGTTATAAACTTATATGCTAAAACGTGTAAAAGTGTTCCAACTATCCCGGCTCTCCCCTACGTGTCTTGTGAAAACTAGACTACTTATCCTCTGGTTGCTTTGAAATTGATATTAAGTTGTTTACATCAGTGAGATGAAGAATCCTATAGGCCTATAATTTCAATAATTTCCGTGAATTTCTTCTGGAGTTATGACCTTTGTTTCACTTTATTAAAGGGCTAATCCCGATATTTATTGGAGAATAAAACTGCTTAATTTTGTGTTAAAATCCTCTAGCTAAGGGCCGAGCAACTAACTCAATATTTGTGATAAGTTTTCAAACAACTTAAACCCGTCAGTCTTCATCTGGAAATGGAGACCGGTGTCCCAAGCTGTATTATGCGGTGTCTGGATAAAACCAGACTTTTATTTTATAAAAATAATGTGTAGGTGAAATTTACCTTTCGTTATCAAGTAGAGCACATGGGTCATTCACTATATAGACCGCTCAAGGAACGGGAATCGATTATCAGGTCACCCAACGAAAAAACTAACCCGAAATCTTAAAAGGGTTATGTGTCCGGATAAGCAGTTTTGACGTTCACATCCAAACGACTCAATATTTTGAGCTGGAATTTTGAGAGAAGGTAAATACACCAATCCTCTATAATTTGGCGCATAAATTTTATACGTACTCCGACTTTTATTTTTGAGACTCTCTTGAAATCGGGATAGTCCCTTTAAACATTGTGAACGCAATAACGACAAAAGTTATCATCTGGTTTGTATGAAATGTATATATATATATGCATCATTTCAATTAGTGAATCCTATTGAATTTCAGCAATTTCCGTTAAGTTCTTCTAGAGTTATGACCCTTATTTCAGTTTGTAGAACCTTGTAAACACCTCAAAAGACGAAAATTATAATCTCACCTGTATGAAATTGGGAAATCGTCTTGTAAATGCCCCCAGTTACCTACAAAAGAATAAATATGCGAAAACCCTTGTCGACCGTCGGACGATTTAGGTGCTATGGGCGTATGTTTCGTTGCCTGGCAACCTATTTTCAATGCTAAACTCATAATGCACAACCAATGTCAAACATATACCATGGCTCAGATATACTAAAAATCTACATTAGCACGTTACACAGCCCAAAATGTCTCGGCACATGGGGAAGAGAACCGTCAGTCACCCCACACCTAATGATATATACTCAGCCAATTTAAAAACTTGACACTCAGGATTTTTGGGACTAGATTTTTAATATTTGGTTTAAGGCAACTATTTTAGTGTTATTTTTGTGCACAGACGACCTTGACATCAACAGAAAGCAAGAATACGTCTCGCCGAAAGTCCTTGGCATTGATAACGTTCGTGATGTCACAGTACCCCTCAAACTGAAATTCACAGACTTGGAGAACAATCGGAATAAAGTGTTTAGTAACGGCTGTGGCCTCCTCTAGCGTCTCGTACTGCCACACAACGTCTTCTCATGGATCTCAGAACATTAGTAAAAACTACCCGAGGAAGACGTCGCCACTGATCAGCAAGAGCATGTTGAAGGTCCTGCAACGTCAGTGGTGGATTCACTTGCTGACGAACACGTCGACCCAGTTCGTCCCAGATGTGTTCAATAGGATTAAGGTCAAGGCCAATCCAGGACTTGGACACCGGCATTTCTTAAAAAATTCTGGGTAGCAATTGCTGTATGGGGTCGAGCATTGTCTTGTTGAAACGTTAGTCCAGGCCCATGTCTCTGCATAAACGGAAGAAGAACAGGTTGCAAAATCTGAACCCTGTAGTGGACAGCATTTAAATTCCCTTGGACAACAACAAGAGGAGAACGTCCATGTGCACAAAAAGAACCCCAAACCATGACGCTGCCACCACCAAATCGGTCAACTTTTCTGACGCATACTTGAGCGTAACGTTCACCTCGTCTGCGGTACACTTGGACCCTGCCATCGGCAAATCTCAAAGTGAATCGAGATTCGTCACTAAAGACAACTGAATTCCACTGTCTTTCACTGTCTTGTGGCCCACACAAGTCGGTTACGGCGATGAAGAGGTGTCAATATTGGTCCATTATAGGGCCTCCGAGCTCGAAGACCAGCAGCCTGCAAGCGATTTCGAACAGTTTGTGCAGTTACCCTTCCACCAAACATCTCTCTACTTGTGGAGGTTGCAGTGACAAATGTTTCTAAGATGACGTAATCGTATTGCTTGATCTTCCTGGAGTGACGTCACACGTGGCGCTACCGCCCTTGGGCGGTCGGCAATAGTACCAGTTTGAAGCACTCTCATTCTAAGATTAATTATTGTCTGGCGTGATCAATTAAAGGCTCTTGCAACAGTGACCACAGACTGACCAGCATAGAGCCTACCTATAGCACGTAGACGTTCTACATTTGAAAGGCGCAGCATTTTCTAACAAAGATGAAAATAACAATTTTAATTTGTTTTTCCAGTTCAAGTTACGTGTGCGTGTTCAGTTTAAGCAAACTTGCATCGATGGACCTCACGAGTTTGTGTTTGCACGTGTTTTTCAGGTTTTTCATCTTTATATGCTCAAAAGTCACGTGATCCACGTGACTTTACAATTTTATGAAATTAAAGGCTTCTTACTACTTACTATCGTTAGAAACACTTTAAAATTTATTTGACTTACCAGAAAAAAATTTTTGTTGAAATTCATCAGTGTCAAGTTTTTAATTTGGCTGAGTATACATGTTGAGTGTTTGTTCCCCATCCAAAATCACCACGCATCTTTTACAGTGTAGAATCCGGTAACTTTCCCCATAGCCTAATATTACTTATGAATAATACTAATCCGCGGTACATCTTTTCTTTCCAGATTATATTAAAATTAGAAATGGCACCGAAAATAAAAGACCAGGACATGCTATTCTTGTTCGATGAATTAACTAAATTAATTCCAAAATCTAGCGAAGATGTATTTCTGTTACTGAAGAGCTTTGATCCAGGGGAAGTGATAGGAGCGGCAATAACATATCTTTTAAAGCGCAGCACAACTTTATTCTTCTCAAATGAACATTCAGATTCTCTGATACTTAGCGACATTCTCTTGGATCAAATCTGGGAGAAGTTGAACACAGGGTATTGGAAAGATGTAAATATTGCTTGGAGATATCTATACACTCTCATATCTACGATGAAAATGTTCTCACAAGTATTCCTGTTAATACACGAATCAGACGATACTTTAACTACAGCAGACGTCATGAGAACATGTGACATGGGGCTATTAATGGGTGCCCCAATACTCGACAATGTTTTGGCCAAAATGTCAACCTGCGTTTTAAAGAATGACATTTTTAAAGGTACCAATAAGAGACAGGCTGTGACCGAGACTGTCGACGCCTCCAAAAGACATAAGTTAGACGAGGAACTTTCTTTGGCAGAGTCGCTTTGTAATATAGATGAAGCTAAAGAAATACAGAAATCGTCCTGTCCATCTTTAGAGTTTTTTAGAAAAACTTTTTTAGACAAAAAGGAGCCTGTTATAATCACGGCTGCTATAGATTATTGGCCAGCTATGTCAACAAATAAATGGTCATTAGATTATATTAAAAAGGTGGCAGGAACCAGGACGGTGCCGATCGAACTTGGTTCCAAATACACCGAGGAATCCTGGTCTCAGACATTGATGACTGTCAAAGAATTTATTGAAAATTATATCGAAAATCCCAAAGAAACGAAAGGGTATTTAGCTCAACATCAACTCTTTGATCAAATCCCTGAATTACAACATGACATCAGTGTACCGAGCTATTGCTGTTTAGGGGAAAGAGACGACGTTGATATCAATGCATGGTTTGGACCAAAAGGAACTGTCTCGCCATTACATTACGACGCCAAGGAAAATCTTTTGACACAGGTGTTCGGCAAGAAATATGTTCGTCTCTATTCCGATAAATACACAGAGAATGTTTATCCTAATCCCCACAGACTGTTACACAATACAAGTTTAGTCGATATTGAACACATAGACAAAGATAAATACCCTTTATTCCCCGAAGCGCCATATTGGGAATGTATATTAAATCCCGGTGAAATGTTGTATATACCGTCAAAATATTGGCATTTTGTAAAATCTCTCTCGGTCAGTTTCTCAGTAAGTTTTTGGTGGGAGTGATGTTTATAAAAGTATTAATAGGTTTCTGATTAAAACTATAATGTCGCTCTAGAATGAGTGTTTATTCACTAATTCGCTCAGTGGGTAACAAATATACCATAAGCATTTAGTACTGCTTAAGACGTTGGCTCAGCAACCAGGGGCTCACGGGTTCGACACCGATGTTGGCCGAGAAAATTCCTCGGGATTCTCCATTGGGGTTTCCCCCATGTCAAGAAACGGCGTCTAGGGGGATGAAAATCATAGGCTCCGTGTATGGGGCGCCGTTTGTAAATTAATTTTTTAGCTTTTTATATAGCAAAAAACACTAGATTTAATTTAAATTTATATATATAGTTAAATCTCGACTTTTGTGCAAATTTTTCACTTTTAATATTTAAACTAAAAATACAACAAAAACTCAATATTTAACATAATATATATAAATATTTCTTGATTTGTCTCTATTTTCATATTTAACATTTAGCATTGATGATATATAAATATTTAGCTAAATATTTAGTTAAATGTTTAAACATTTAGCTAAATATATATTTAGTTAAACATTTATATATTTAGTTAAACATTTATATATTTAGCAAAATAATATATATTTAGCTAAATAATATATATTTAGCTAAATAATATATATTTAGCTAAATAATATATATTTAGCTAAATATTTAGCTAAATAATTATATATTTAGTTAAATAATTATATATTTAGCTAAACATAATATAGTTAAATTTACAAAGCGCAACCGTACCACGCCGTTTGTAAAATAATTATTGTTGTAAGCGACTTCACACTAAACGATGACGTAGTGTACAACTTTCCATTGACTGCACCTTGCCTTGATCTGTGCGAACGGCACGGAGTACCGCGGCCGTGATTCGGGTTACAAGTTCGTGGTCAGCTTCCATTTCTAATTGCTAGTAGGCCTATTGTGCCAAGGCTCACGTGTCGGGTACACGTCATCATTTTATGCGCAGTTTTTTTGTGTCGCTTACGATAATAGAAATATTGGCGGGACCACAAATATATATATTTAGTTAAATATTTATACATTTAGCTAAACATATATATTTAGCATGATATTTATATATTTAGTTAACTGTTTATATATTTAACTAAATATATCTATTTAGTTAAATGTTTATATATTTAGTAAAATGTTTATATATTTAACTAAATATATATATTTAACTAAATATATATATTTAACTAAATATATATATTTAACTAAATGTTTATATATTTAGCTAAATGTTTATATATTTAGCTAAATGTTTATATATTTAGCTATATATTTAACTTTAGATTTTTCAGTGATTTAGTATTTAGCATTTATACCTACGAAAAACAGCACATTTAGCTATACATATAACTAAGCGATGTGAAATCAAGATATAACATTTAAAGTTTTTCATAGACCAAAAATTCGACTTTTAGCTACAATATTTTTTTATATTTACATATATGCCATTTTTGTTCTAATATTTATCTAAATATATATATTCAGAGTTAAATCTAATGTTTTTTGCTATAAAAAAATTAAATAATTATTTTACAAACGGCGCCCCATATCCGTGTACGTAAAATACATATAACTAAGCGATGTGAAATCAAGATATAACATTTAAAGTTTTTCATAGACCAAAAATTCGACTTTTAGCTACAATATTTTTTTATATTTACATATATGCCATTTTTGTTCTAATATTTATCTAAATATATATATTCAGAGTTAAATCTAATGTTTTTTGCTATAAAAAAAATTAAATAATTATTTTACAAACGGCGCCCCATATCCGTGTACGTAAAATACATATAACTAAGCGATGTGAAATCAAGATATAACATTTAAAGTTTTTCATAGACTTTTAGCTACAATATTTTTTTATATTTACATATATGCCATTTTTGTTCTAATATTTATCTAAATATATATATTCAGAGTTAAATCTAATGTTTTTTGCTATAAAAAAAATTAAATAATTATTTTACAAACGGCGCCCCATATCCGTGTACGTAAAATAATCCTTGACAGTTGGAATTAGATTAAGAGTAATCGGAAACGAATACACTTTCTCTTGTAGCAAGAAACAGCGTTTAGCCGTTCGGATGCACGTAAAAGAACCCTTGACAGTTGAAATTAGAAATAGCAGACTGTAGCGCCGTAGTCCGGGAAAGAAATTCCCCCAATAGCACACTGTATGGCGTATGCTCGTCTTCATTTATTGTCCCCCGCCTTTGGAAGAAAGCAGGGGACTATTGAAATGGGTTCGTCCGTCTGTCTGTCTGTCCGTCACACCTTTTGGGGCACAATAACTCTCCTTCTAATTGACCTAGAATGTTCAAACTTGGTGTAGGTGTTTATGAGGTCAATGCCTTGATAGAGTGCGAAGATGAGCATTTTCTGCTTATGGTAAGTAGAGATAAGCAATTTAATTGGTTGGTGCTTTGGGACACGATAACTTTAGTTCTTATTAAGTGAGAGTGATGAAACTTGGTGTATAGTTTCATTACATCAATACCTTGACTAAGTTCAATGATGAGAATTGTCTGCTTAGGCTAAGGAGCAATAAACATTTTGATTGGTCAAGACTTTGGAACATAACAACTCTGCTTCTAAAACAACTCTGCTTCTAATTGAGGTAAAATGTTTAAACTTGATGTAGGTGTTCGTCTTGACTGAGTTCAATGATTAACATATCGAGCTAAAGCTAAGCAGAGATAAGCAATTTCCTTGGTCGATGCTTTTGGACAAAATAACTTTGATTCTATCTGATAGAGAGTGATGAAACTTAGTGTACAGTTGATAATCAGATTGATTGCTCGATACTTTTGAAAAAAAAAGATGTGCGATTAATTAATATGTGTCATCTATTTAATTGGGGATTTCGGCGGGGGACATCAGCCTCACTATTGGCTTGTTCACTATAGGTTCAGACAGAAAATTGTCTGCAACTTGAAAATGAAACAAGAAGGCCTTACTAAAACTTAAGGCGTTTTTTTTTATTTATTTATTTTTTTCAATTAAATTCCGTGTCTTATTGGGCACCAGCGTCATTTCACAATGATATACTAATTTGATTGGTTTTTATACGGCAACATGTTCGTCCGTGTGACTGAATATAACACCGGCCGATGGGACGAATACAGAATGGAGTTCTTCAATTAATTCATTAAAATTTGCTAGGGCCACTCATTGTGGCAAAAGGCGGGACTCTATCCAAATTCAGAATGTTTCGATCGTGTCTTTAAAATCCTGTTATCTCCATATTTAGGGAATGGCTTACAGATTTGTTTCTTCGAGCATTAGTCATCGTTTCTATTTTTATCTAACAGTTTATTTCTAATAAACAGCTTTAGACGCATATTGCATAATAAGCTCGCAATGACGTGACATGATATTCATAAATGATGTCATTTATGGGTAACCTTTGTTAGTTGTTATAAACCTATGTCTTAACTTATACATACCATTGGATCCATTTTAAATAACATATATTTAATTGGTCGTTTTGATTCATTTCTATAGTCTTTATGACTAGATGTTTTAGAAATAACACCATACCGATATCGGCTAAATTATAATTAGTCTATATTCTCAGAAATCTATTTGTATAAGTAGTCCGAAAATATCATCAATTCTTAGAAATGTCGACCATAAACGGTTTTACTACAGTAACAAGAAGATGCCTGGATTTAAAAGAAGAGAATATTGATGACGAATTGAGACATCCAATCAGTTTATAAACTTTTTTGACGGCCTTTGCTTACTCTTTCGGGGTTCTTAATGGTAGTCATTTAGATGCATTTAGTAACTGGATAGAACAATATAACTATAACACATAATTATTTATATTGCTTGCTTAGACGTAAGCATATTGGTATACGCATTACTAGGTTAGGAGAGAGAGAAAAATGGAGTTTAACGTCTTCTCGACCCAAACTTGGTTTTTCGAAACTAACATATGGTTCAATATTATTTCAATAATTCGCATGCGCGTAGGGTTCTTTAGATGTCGGAGAAAACCCACGAAGTTGGACATGCGACCCTACTCCACTTGACTCAGTGACCGATGTCCATGAAACTTACAGATTATAATAAAATGAATAATATATCAGGGTAGACAAAATTTCGGCCACTTCCGATTGGCAGTTTCCGAGATATCCGGAAGTGGTCGAAATTTTGGCTGCTCTGAGATATTATTAATGTTATCATATTCTGTAAGTTTCATGGATATCGGTTGATAATTGCGGTCTTCATCCGTGCCACATTAAATATGTGCTAACCTAATATCTCCGAAACCGCTGACCAAAAGTGGCCGAAACTTTGCCTGCTCTGAGATATTATCAAGTGTCATTGAAATTGGTTGTTTATTGCGGTCTGCAGCCATGCCACATGAAATGTGTCGTAAACCGTTATCTCGGAAACTGCTGACCGGAAGTGGTCGAAACTTTGGCTACTCTGAGATATTATTAATGTCATCAGAACAGTAGGGCGCTAAATCCCATTTCATATTATTTCATTTAATAATGTTATCTTGATCTGTAAGTCTCATAGAAATAGGTTGATAACTTCGGTGAGCAGACTTGCCACATGTGGCAAATAGTCCCCGAATTGTCTTACCACATGTGCAATCGGATTAAAATACATTTAATATCATGGATTTAGCTGTTCAAGTTATCAAAAATCATTGAAAATCAACATACTTGTTCGTCTCAAGACCTAAAACTCTGTGTATCAATCTAAAGTCAATCGAATGATTACTTTGGCCTGTACAGCACCCGCAAGATTTTCCGAAGCAATCAAGAGCCATAACTCTGGCAGTAATTATTGGAAATCCTTGATAATATATAGGTGTCTTCGTCTCATGACCGTAAACACAGTGTACTGTATACATTTAAAATCAATCGGATGCATCCACAAGATTTTTCAAAGTACTCAGGGGCCATAACTCTGGCAGTAATTATCGAAATTCGTTGAAAATCAATAGGTTTCTCGTCATATGACAACGATTCGGCGCCATATACACGAAGATGTTCCCATATCCATATTATTAATTAAGTTATTCGAAATAAACCACAGTCACAAAAATCAATTTCTTTAATGGTGCAATATTAATCTTTAACCGGCATTTAGTAATTGAGTAATTGCAAAACACATTAGCAGAACACAATATTTATGAGAAACGGTCATATATGAGAATTGTTTTATTTTATAAGCACGGCCATTAAAACTTGTCGAAACGTCGTACTTATAATGATAAAATCAGTGTAAAGATATTGAATTTTAATTCATATTGAAGTATGTAAATTAAGCAAAAACAAGAAGTTATTTTGTGAATCGCGCCCAAAGTATTGCAAAAATGTGACCGACCAGGAAATATATCATTTTATAGATATTCTACACTTCATATCCAAATTTAAATGATTTAATTAAAAAA